CCAATTGCGGCGAAGCGAGGCCGAGCGAGGCCGAGCGAGGCCGTGTAGTGGAAACGCGCCATTAGACTATTTCCATTATCCAGGGAAACACAACTTCAAAGGGGCCTCCTTATAGTTAATAAAGTAATTAAACAATAAAATGTCATATGATCTGATATTACCATAAAAGAGTCGCTATGTCATATTTACCCCTATTAAAGAACACTATCTTATAGAAGGCTATACAACCACCACAGTTGACCAAAACAAGTCATACTATCATACTATCTGGTTTATCATTGACCAATAATGACCTAGTAAGATACTAACAGGTTTCACATCAAAGGGGTGATAAAGTCTTATCAACCCCCTATTGTGCAATATCCTTATCAGGGCTATATCTGGTTTATCATTGACCAGTAATGACCTACTAAGATACTAACAGGGTTAACATCAAAGGGGCTATCAACTCTTATCAGCCACTATTGGGCAACATCCGCACAAACAAGTCATAAGAGATAAGGGGTTCAAAGGTCAGAAAAGATAAGAGGGTCAAAGGTCAGATTTCAGAGTGACAGGTGCCACTTCAAAGGGATTTTGGAGGTGGGACTTCCGATTTTTGGAGGCGGGACTTCTGGTTTGGGAGGCGGGACTTCCGGTTTTAGGGTCATAAATCATTCCTTATCAGGTACTTAATCTAAATCGGACAGAAAGTGGGTTCTTAATACTACTGGTGGGGGCTGGTGAACGGTATGGTCAATCTTTGTAAACACTGTGAAATGTTGACTTTATTTTATCATTTCAGTAAAAACTAATGTTCATATTTCAGAGTGGAAGAGACACTGCATAAATATGCAAACCTACAGTTAACTTTACTGCTGGAGAAGAGAGATCAGGGGGGGAGAGCTGTTGCTGATGGGCCATTAGGTGTGTAAACACACAGCTGATCACCTGAGAGCTGACGTTTCATTCAGACTATTTAAAAAAAGAAAAACGGTCTGATTTTAACATTGCACAAAAATGAACTCAATGTGTGATTGTTATAGCAGTAATATTAAACACTAATAATACAGTAAACTATTAACAATAGTATAATATTATAGCCCGTTTGCCCATGGTGAGATGACGAGGCTTCTTTAAAAATAAACCTATTTTTAGTGAATTACTGAGTTTGGGCAAGTTAATAACGTTTTAATGAAGGTGACTACAGTATATTCATATTTGTCAGTGCTTTCATGTCAATTCGGCGAACATAAACATAAATGATTGTGAAGATGATGATTAAATTAGGATTAAAAATCGGTAGTGAGAGCCGTGCTGCATTTCCTCCCGTCGGATGTGATATAAAAACGAACCGATTATTTTTGTAGTTGTAAACTCACGTGGATTAAACCACATTTATTAGTGCTTTCATGTCAATTCGGCGAACATATGATACATTAAATGATCGTGAGGATGATGATTAAAAATCGTTTGTTTGAGCCGGTCTGCATTTCCTGATGAAAAAACAAACCGATGGTTTTGTACCTACGCTAACGTGGATTAAACAACATTATTTTGTTAAATAAAAACATGGTGATGTTTTGTCAATTATTACATGTCTCTTATATAGCACAGAATATGATCCTATCCTGTAGATCTATCAGCTGTTTATTTCACATGAGTTCCAGTGTGGCAGCTTTTTATTCACTGCTCCCCCTGGTGGATCCATGATCCATTGCAGCTGGTTTCATTATAATTTAATTTATTTATCAAGGGGGCGTGCGGGGGGTTTTCCTTTAACATTTTTTCAAGGGAAGCTCCTTTCTTCTAACAAAAGCAGGAGGAGCAGTGAGCTGTTTTCTCAACATTAAATATTGTTTTTTCCGTCTCACTTGTTCCCATGTTGCCAGGAGGCTGACATCCACATGCCCTCTGTAGCTGTGTTTGTGCAGCAGCTCCTCAACCTCCAGGACGATAACGGAGCGATAGATGTAATACATATAGTACACTAAATACACAGTCAACAAACTGACCTGCAAACAGAAAGAGAGAGAGAGTTATATTTATACAGCAGTCAAAGCATAAACAGGTAGATTATTTTAAAGTTAAAACCATGCTGTGACCTTCCACAGGTATGTTGGTTTAAGAGCTGCAGGTTACTTTGTGTATTACTTTGAGTATTTAGAATACTCTAGAATCGGATGCATAGGATGGTGTGGTCTTTTCAAAGCAGTGTTCAAGTCTCTTGGATTAATGCATATCCTGATTTCTTGTTTGTCCTTTTTGTTAGTGGCTACCATAGAGGACACCCAATCAGTGGGCTCTGAGACAGGAGTGATGACTCCCAATTCCTGCACTCGACCATAAGTCTTCCATGTTAACCACTTTCAGCTCCCCTTTTGGTCGTTACAGATTTCTAAGAATGCCATTTGGAATCAATTCTGCCAGCGAGGTGTTCCAGCGCTCCATGGAACAGATCTTCGCTGGATATCCCTGTGAAATCATCGTTGATTATATCATTATTGCAGGTAAAGATGTTGCAGTGCACGACGCCAACCTGAGAAAAGTGCTGAACAGGGTCAGGGAGGTTCATTTAAGGCTTAACCCCCTCAAGTGCAAGTTCAGGCTAAGCCAAGTTGGCTATGTTGGCCATGTTTTCACCAGTGAAGGACTCAAAGCAGATCCTTCCAAAACAAGTGCTATTAGTGAGATGCCAGTGCCAGCAGACGTCCCAGCCTTACAAAGATTTCTGGGGATGGTCAACTACCTTGGAAAGTTCATACCAAACTTCAGCCAGCTGTCAGCTCCACTACGGCAGCTCACACACAAAGACACAGAATGGACATGGCATGAACAGCAGCAGAAAGCTTTTGAAGACTTAAAGAAACGCATGTCTTGCCCACCGGTGTTGTTATACTATGATGTTGACAAGCCAGTGACACTTACCTGTGACGCTTCACAGCACGGACTCGGTGCAGCATGTTTGCAGGAAGGAAAACCTGTAGCGTATGCTTCACGTACGCTAACTGAAACAGGAACCAGATATGTTCAAATCGAAAAAGAGTTGTTGGCAGTGGTCTTTGCATGTTCAAATTTCAATGACAATATCTATGGTAAACCAGTCACCATTGAAACAGACCACCAGCCCGTCGTTACCATACTAAAAAAGCCCATACACACAGCACCTGCAAGACTACAAAGAATGATGCTACGACTACAAAAGTACGACATCACTCTTGTGTACAAATGCGGAAAGCAAATGTTCCTGGCTGACACTTTGTCGCGAGCTCCCCGCAGCTCCACAGTTCAGAAAACTGAAGAAGAGGACAACTTGGACGTAATGACTGTTAACTACATATCTTCTTCTCGCTTAGAACAGTTAGAGAGGCACACCGCTGAAGACATGACTCTCCAAACACTCAGCACCACTATCAGACACGGGTGACCCGCTAAACAGCATAATCTTCCACATGCCATTAGACTGTATTTTCCTTTCAGAGACGAACTGATTGTTGCAAATGGAGTCATAATGAATGGTCACAAAGCAGTTATTCCTCTGTCACTACAGAAAGAATACATCAGCATCATGCACAGAGGACATCCTGGTGAAGAAGCTACAAAGCGGAGAGCAAGTGGCATAGTTTTCTGGCCAACTATGACAGACAACATTCACACAGAAATACAGTCATGCTCTGTGTGTAACAGCACAAAATCACACCAGCAGAAAGAACCACTCCATCTGCATCCAGTTCCAGACTTGCCGTGTCAACTGTAGCAACTGACATCTTTGAGTGGCGCAATCAGCAATACTTTCTGCTAGTGGACTCATATTCAGGCTGGTATGAGATAGACATGCTTCGTGATATCACTGCAGCAACAGTCATTGCAAAGCTAAAAAGACACTTCTCAGTTCATGGAGCACCTCACACCCTCATGTCGGACAATGGGAGGCAGTTTACTAGCCAGCGCTTTAAAGACTTTGCTTCACAGTGGGACTTCACTCATATTACCAGCAGTCCTGAGTATCCCCAGTCTAACGGGCTAGCTGAACGGGCTGTGCGCAGTGCTAAGCAGCTCATGGAGAAATCTCATAGAGATGGAACTGATGTTTTTCTTGACCTATTAAACATCAGGAATGTACCACGTGACACAATATTAGGATCTCCTGTACAGAGACTGATGTCGAGACAAACACGTACAACACTCCCAGTCTCGATGAAGCTGCTTGAGCCAGACACAAGAGGTAAAAGCCCAGGCTATATCAAAAACAGTGCTATGATAAGTCAAGCCGACCACTACAACCTTTGATGGTAAGCTGTACAGAAGGAATCGTAGGCACATTCTGCCTGTAGCTGAGCCTGTCCCGTCACACCCCACTATAAGTGACACTGATCATCAGGGCACAGGACTTGAGTTTATAGACTGTAACACACACACACATGAATCACTGAACAGTGAACACATGAAGGCTGATGTTCACACAGCTAAACTGTTTACTAGACTTTGTTACTGTAGTAATTACTCAGTGAATTGCTACACTTATTCTTTGAGATAGCTTTTGTGTTTATCAGTTACTAAATGCACACATAGTTTTATAATGTGTACTTTTGCAGCACTTTGTAAGTTCTGTCATATGTGCTGAGTATAACAGTTGTGTTTACTACTGTAGGAAGAGCTAAAGAAAGGGGATGTAGAGTATTCGCATTTGGTCTCTGTTGTCCTTCTACAGACACGGTACCTGAATGTAGGGACCTACAGGGGTTAAACCCGTACCCAGGGGGTTTCCTAGTTATGGTTCTGATAACTGCCATGTGTATGTAGTATGCTCCGTCACTATCAAGGTTATTAAACCAAGTTCCAAGATAAACATGACTTGTTTATGAGAACATCAAACAATGTCCAAGGACGTTTGGATTATTTTGATATGTGTTATCAAAGAAATCTGCTGGATTCTCCTCGTCAGCTGTTTAACGTGTATATAAAGACGGGAACAGAGCGAGACGTGTCACACTTCTCTGTCTGAACAGCGATATTTCAGAATGAGGAAAGCTGCAGTTTTGCTGCTCTGTCTGCTCTGGACGGGGGCTCAGGGTGAGGATGGAGCTCAGAGAGAGAACGCAGGTAAGCTATCTGATTTGAACTCTTTAGTGTGGTAGAAAACAGGTGTCAAACTTTCTAATATGTGATGACGGAAACTGAAATAAACTGAGGATAAAAACTATATTTTACTATAAAGATTTTAAACTTGTTCAGCTCTAGATAACAGGATGAGCTCCAGTGAAAAGCAGGTGGTGGAGCTCCAGACACAGAACTCAGGTAAGAAACAGAAACTATTATGAAGAGTCAAAGTATTGTATAAGAATAGAACTGGTATACTGATATACCAGCAAATATCAAACTCTGCTGCATCCTCCTCTTTCTCACAGCCGGTCCTCAGGTGGCGTTCTCAGTCGGTCTCAGTGATGCAGGAGTAGTCGGACCCTTCGGCACTAACAGTATACTGAAGTACAGTAAAGTCTTCACCAATATCGGCCAGGCCTACATCCCAACTACAGGTACTGAGCACACACACACAGACACACACACACACACACACACACACACACACACACACACACACACACACACACACACACACACACACACACACACACACACACACACACACACACACACACACACACACACACACACACACACACACACACACACACACACACACACACACACACACATATTCATTTACAGTAGATGTGTGACTGTAAGCTTTCTTAAGAGTTTTCTTAATGAAACCATTAAAACATCTCTTAGTTTTCCTACAGTTGATCATGGTAGAAAATAGAACAAAGTCAAGAGCTCCTACATGCTCCTTATTTAAAAAACAACCCAGTCCTGCTGAAGCAGCAGAAACAATCTCCCCTCACTGACCTTCTCCTCTGATGCAGGTATCTTCACAGCCCCCGTCAAAGGAGTCTACTACTTCAGATTCAACATGTGGGGAAGCCGCTTTGTATCAGATACCGCTCTTGAATTCGCTCTCAACAACGTGATGAAGATGAGGCTTCAAGATTACAATGATGCCTATGGCTATGTCTCTGCGTCTAACTCAATTGTTCTTCAGCTGGAGAAGGGAGATGTTGTCAACATCGTTCTGCCCTCCAGCTACACCGTTTATGATGATTTGTTTAATCGCATGATTTTCAGTGGATTTCTACTCTTTCCTGTGTGAAGCCCACTGTAAAACACCCACTGCATTAAGTTTCAACATTACATATTAATAAATAAGTGTGTTGACTCAACTTATATAATTGTTTGTGTTTATTTTTGATTGGTTACATGAACAAGAGGCATTCATTACCATAACAACGTTTTCTACGGACAATATAAGAGAAACACTTTAGCAGTACTGTTGTTGTCCAAACCCCCTAAACCGAGACCAAGTCAAGACCAAAGAGCCCTCTACAGTCTGTGCCCTGACTACAGAAGTGAGAGACTCACACTGCATGACACAGATATGAAAAATATATAACATTAAAAACAGAGACACTCCTCAAAATTATCCGTCATATCCACAATCCCAGAAAAACTCAAATGTCTTTTATGGCCTCTTTGTCAGAGACAGAAACTCATTAAAATGAGGTTGATTCTGAGACCAGGGCTGCAGTCGAATTGTCAGTTTCTCTTAGGAACCTTCCTAACGGATTGAAATGACCCGGAAGTACTTCAGTGGCAGCCATGATAAGAGTTGTTCAAATTCTCTAGATGAAAGGAAAGGAGGTTTCAAACTTCCTTTATAACCTCCTTTAGGAAACACTGGATCTTCCTTTGCGAAAGAAAATGAGAAAATGCTGCCCCACAATGCCTTGCAGCCGCAGCATTTAACACGAGGGGATATTCGGCCGATTATGACCGAGAAATGATATCATGAAAGTTACGGTGCTTATTAAGCATTTTAAAAGTGGTAAGTTGCCAAAGTGCTTTGTTTTGAACGTTCATCAGTATTATAATCAAAAAGAGAAATATGAACGTTAGTTTTTACTGAAATGATCAAATAAAGTCAACATTTCACAGTCTTTACTGAGCTGTGTGGGGTTTGTTCAACTTTTAAAAGATGTTTGAATGGTGATATACACAGTGATAGATGTTAAGGACTAACGTTTATAATAAATGCATTTGTATTTATTTTAAGATCTTTTCATACAATCATACGTATTGGGATCATTTGTATTAATGTGGACCGGAGGGTGAGGGTGACTTTTTTATTTCAATTCCAACCTCGTTCATGAAGAATTTATGTTTTTCTGTTGTCCCCGTTCATAAAGCATAAAACAACACCATCAGAGCGCGGTGCAAAGTCTCTAGATGCGTTTACAGTAGTCCGTCGTTCTTATTAAACATCCATGTAGTCCGCTCACTCCGCTGTATAGAAAGCTGTAGTTTCCCTACAGCAGACGCATATTCATGACGTCCGCTGGCGCATCATAAATACGTGGATAGTGTACAGTAAGTGTAGTCGGATTCTCAAAGCACTGCAGTCTCTTCTCCTAAGTCCTTTTGAAGTCTCCTATCCACTATCCCTTAACCCTGTGACGTTTCACACAGAGGTTAAGGAATAGACGATAGGAGCTGATTTTTGGACTATTCGACTTCAGCCATGGTCTTCAGGACTTTTTAATAAACTTTAAACTAATTTTATTTTTGGGAAAATGTCACATTCACAAGAAGAACTTGACTGAGTTTTAATGCATTACTATTACATATACAAAATAAAAAGGCAATACAAACCAAGTGTGTATTTGATAAATATTTTTACTTGAAATGTAACCTGTTTTATTTCCTTACTTTATTATATTTGTTTAACTCTGTATATGTACCCCTGATGTCAATATGTTGTGTTTATATAATGTTAGATACTGTACCTAGCATTTGGAAACTAACATCCATATTCCCTTAGACTTATATACTCTCAAATAAATAAATTAAGCACATTTTTGCAAAAAAAGCCCCCAACTATTTTCACATGCTACTTCCATAAAAACTCCACTTAAAGGTGGGGTAGGTAAGTTTGAGAAACCGGCTCGAGATACACTTTTTGTTATATTCCATGGAATGCTCTTAACATCCCGATAGCAATGAATATCTTAAGTGCTTTGACAACAAATCCATTAAAAAATATCATCTGTGGAAGCCGTAGTACTGTAAAAAGCACGACCAATCATCTGAGCCGGCCCGGGTAAAATAACTGGATGGCCTACCTGCCTGTCAGCCTTCCATCTGTGCACAAACTTATCTTGTGCCCTCATTGGTCATGTGCGCATTCGTGTGTGTTGGAGGAGGGGCTCTGTAAGGAAGTGGTAGATTTTTTCCGGTTGTGTATTTTCAAATTCTAGCGCACTCGAGCTGGTTTCTCCAAAATTACCTACCCCACCTTTAATGTTCCTGAAATTAATGAGATGCGCCAAATATCTCTATACTGTATATAACTAGAAATGATTTGACAAATTGAATGTATTTTTCTTAAGCAACGTGTTTTATTTATATATTTATGTCTGTTATTGGTTTATTATTTTTGTCATTTGAATAAAAACAATTACAAAAATAGGTCTTAAGTTCATATATATATAGTAAGACACCAATGACTAATGAAAACAGATATAGGCAAATGTGATGCATGAACTAAAATACATGCATGCATTGACAGGTTGCACGAACATTAAGGTGAATGATCTCTTTGTTTAAACTAGTGACTCAGGTAACAGTATTTGCAGTAACATGCTGGTCACATACAGTTGTTAATCTTAACAGAACAGAAAATACAGACCTTGTAGATCTTGTTGTCTTGTAATACGTGCAGATTTTCAGCCACATCTCCATCACTTATTGATCTGGCTCTACCCTGCCAGGCTCCTCGTGGACCAGCACCTCAACCACCATCTCAGTCTGTGGGGTCTGAGTTTTATAATTGATTTCTGTCCATGGGTCACTTTGCTTCTCCAGAACATCTTCTGTCCAAACCCTGATGAGCGTCTCTGGGCGGGACGGGTAGTTCTGTGTCTTTAAATAAGTCTGGAGCTCTTGGTCTTTTGGGTTTTCTCCGGCTCTTGTTCCTGGTTGTTGTGAATTATCCAATCCCACAACAACGTCAGAGAAGGGACAGCCTCCCCTTTGGTTTCTCTGCTGCAGAAACTGCATGTCCTCTAGTTCAAGCTCAGACCTGGTGATGCAGGATCAAGCAAAAAAGAAACTTGTCAATTATCATCATTTTGTAATTGGTGATTTTAAATTGTGCGTAGAAATGTGTGTTACCTGAGCAGGTGAGATGCAGGTAGGGTTTCTTCTTGTGTTCTTACAAAGTCCTGTAATAGAATCACACAGCATCAGCTTTACAGAATAAACCATTGTGATAAAGTATGTATATGTTTGTAATGCTCTGTATGCATGTGTCCTATTCCGTGAAGTCGGACTCACCTGTGCGTGCATGTTGATCCGCTGTGTGTGTGAGAGGGCAGGACTGTCCTCCCGGTAGCGATGAGCTTTGGACGGCAGAGTTTGGTGCAGACTGTTGGAGAGGGCGCTCAGTCTGAACAAAAGCTCATCTAATAAGCTTTCAAACTCCTCAAAGTAATATGTCTGTAAAAACCAGAAGGCAAAGTTAAAATGAACTCTACAGATAGTTATTAAGTGGTGGGATGTGTTCGGTGTGAGGATGTATGATATGAGGCAACAATTGAATTCCCTACAGGGATCAATACAGGTTTATCTTATCGGATATTATTTATTGTAAACATAGTCTTCATTTTAAGAGACGCCTGCAGAAGTATTGCCAGTAGCATTAGATCATAAATCTGACCTCCAATGTTCACACCAAGGTCATTTGACTATAATACAAATGTTACACGGCCTTTATTACAGTCTGTAAAATGGATCTCAGTTTTATTGTTTTTATTGACTTTTCCCCACCTTTCCCTCCACATGATGTTCAGTCCATGCTTGTCTTCGCTGCCAGGTGACCTCAGAGATCTTCCTCCTGATGTAGCGGGATAATTCTGCCATGGTCAGCACATTCCCTCTGCCTCCAGATCTTTTGGCTCTTCTGACTAATGAGGACATCACACCTATCACCTGTAGGAAAGACAGGAGGCTGTTAAAACCCAGCAGTGATATAGACTCTGACAAATATCACTGAGTGAGTCGTCTCTCATCCAACACATTGTTTTAAAGGGGACCTATCATGCAAAATGCACTTTTGTACGTCTTTTATACATGAATATGTGTCCCCGGTGTTCCAGGGAACTCACCAAGTGTCAGAAAACACAACCCTCTCTATTTTCCTCCATACCCAAATCTCTAAAAAAGGGGCTGCAACGGATCTGATAAAAACTGATCCAGATTTGAACACTGTCCTGACGCCAGGACGGTGGCGCTACGGCTATTGGGCCAACTCTCCACCTATCAGGGGAATGTGGGGTTGGGCCACGGCCGGCCATTGCTGCTCGAAAGCGCTGGAGACGCTGTAGTACATATGCCAGGCCTGTAAGTGGCGCTGTAGTCTGCCACAAAAGCAGCGAAGAAGACTTCCCGCGCATGGTTACCATGGTTACCCATCTGTTTATTCTCCGCTGTGGCTTTTTTTCTCCCTCCCCAAGGCAAGCGTTTGCTCCTGCTGCTGTAATTCAATGCAATCCCTCCCCGTCGAGGCAAGCACTGTAATTCTCTCCGGTTAGTCCACCAGCAGATGACAAACACCCACCTCTCCGCCTCTTGCAAGGAACGAGGGGACCGCGCGGCAGAGTTTCAGTTTCAGTTTCTTTCGCCGGTCAAGATGTCCGTTAAAGTTTAAATCTTCCGGACAAAATTAGAAAAGTGCCGGTCAAAGGTCTTCTTTGTTATTTATTGAGCTTTAAAACAAATGAATAACGACTCTATATAATAAAACACGGAGGACGGAGATCTATTTTTCTCCCCCTCTTCTGACTTGATCAGAGCACACCCTCTCCTGCAGGGGGGCGTGGTCAGCTGCAGCTCACAGAATCAGCCCCCTGCAAAAACAGGGCTGGAGAACAGCAAATAGAGCGAAATGAGGCATGGCTAAAATGCATGATCTGTTTGGTATTTTGAAAACAGAAACGTATAAATATACCTTATATAGGTATGGCCCTACAATATATCATTTAAATATAGCATGATAGGTCTACTTTAAGGTAAAGAAAATATAAGATATATTCATATTTTAGATTTTAGATTTTTTTTTTTTCTATTTTGAGATGTTTCTATTTTAAGTTTGTTTATTTTCTACTCAATACTTTGTTTTAACATGCTGCTGTAATGGAAACAAATCCAATTTGGGTTCAATAACATATATCTTCACTTATCTTTTGTTTTTTATCTAAATTTGGGATTTTTTTCATCACGGTATATGATAGATAGATAGATAGATTTAAGCAATAGCTCACGACAGGCCGTGGTATATGGTCATTATATCACAGTTAAGGGGCGTGGTTCAACAACCCCCTTAGCTGTGATATAATGAGCATATATCACGGCCTGAAGTGAGCTATTGCTTTTATAAAACGGTTACCAAGTGTGGCAATATGAAAGAAAAATACACACTCTAACTTAAATAGTTTTTTATTAGTAAATAATGATGTTCAAAATAAAATAGTCCCTCCGTTGCCTTCTGCACAAAACATAGAGCGAGGTGGTTGCTATGCAACAACACTAACAGCTAGCGAACATATTAGACAGAGAGCGTTGATCCATTATTTGGCTATTTATTTACATTAATGTGTATGTTGCCGTTTATTGTGCACCCACTGAAAACCTGTCCAGCATCAGTAGCATGGCTTACGTGGTTACTTGTATAGGTTGAGGTTGTTCTAGGCTGTTGCTTGGCGTGGCGAGAATATTGCTCCACTTTCTCTGGTCCCCGAGATTCGGCTTCCAGTAGCTCTGGAGAGAGCTTTCGCACCTGTGGCCACTAACGGTCATAATTTCTCTGCTTTGTTTCAAGACCCGCATCAGAAAGCTTTTGAATGGTGGTACTTTTCCAGTTGGTCTACCTGCTCTTCACGTAGCTCTGCATTTCGTCGTTTAGGTGCTTTTTTTTCTGGAGATAGGCACTCCTCAATCCACTCCTCCATAGTAAGGCCACCCGGAGGTCGAAGTTAACCTTAAATGTTTCCATTTTAAGCTTTGTAAGTTTGTTTCGTAATGGACGTAATGTAACAGTTGTAGCTTTTTCTCAGACGCGGAGGGATACTGACTTGTTGTGAAAAGTAAGTACAATTCTACCCGTGATATACGCTCATTATATCATGGCTAAGAACCAATCAGATTGCTTGATTTGACTTATCCGTTTTATAAAGAAAGATAGATAGATAGATAGATAGATAGATAGATAGATAGATAGATAGATAGATAGATAGATAGATGATCCCAATATCTTTGCGTTGCAGCAGCATAAAAAACACAAGGCAGAGAAATTAAGACACAAATAAACATATTTGAGTTTCTGACTTTCTGTCATATACACTATGAAGGGCCAATCAAAGTCTAACCAAATATAAAAGTAGGATGTTTTTAACGTGGAGTGTGCAAGAAATAGCATATTAAACTAAATATTATATACAGAGGAAACTCTTTATATTATAAAGTATACCACTGCTGTCCGAAGCCCAGAGGACAGAAAGAGGAGTCCACGGTAAAGGAGATCCCTCTCAGAGCGGTGGAGGCCCCTGAGGGCCCGGAGACCCCAGCAGTGACCGAGCAGCGTCTGAAAGGAGCGGGGAAGTGAGCTGAAAGACCAGGAGCTTTGCACGAAGAGGAGGTTCCCCGCGCAGGACAGCGCCACCATCAGGATAACACAGGAAATCTAGGACAGGAATTGAATTTGAATTGTTGTTGACAGATTGTTCTGCTCATTGTGTCACAAGATGATGGTTTCAATATATTTCTCTCGTACAGAAATATTTAAAATGTGTTATTGAAAACTGGGGCCTATATCAGTGTGTGTGTGTGTGTGTGTGTGTGTGTGTGTGTGTGTGTGTGTGTGTGTGTGTGTGTGTGTGTGTGTGTGTGTGTGTGTGTGTGTGTGCGTGGTCAGTGTTGTGTACCGTTGGCCAGAGGAGGCTGCAGAGTGAGCGGGTGAGGAGTGAGTCGGAGGAGTTCACTCTCAGCACGGTGACACACTTCATGGTGAGGAGGAAGAGCGTAACGCCACGCAGAGAACGAATACACTGTGAAACAAAACACAACGTAACACTGAGTCAGTAGAACCCTTTAAGATGTAATCATTAAAAAGCTTCTTAATGTGAGCCCACTAGTTTATTCCCAACATGTCTTTTAGTAAATGTCAGTCTTCTTCTTTTAGAAATTGCTTTTGCGTGTTTTATTCCATATATAAAAATCTTGTAATTGTTTGATTTTATGTCATTCATTCAGTTAAACATTGGTAAATCTTGGTTCACATTTTTATTTTCACTATGGTCAGCACCTCTCCCACACTGAAGTGCATTCCTCCTCTCTTCCTGTTCCCTCCCTAGCCATGTAGAGCACTTGTTAACTTGGATTATAATGCCTTTCAATAATTACTTTCATTTTAATATCTGACACCATGATCTCTAAGGGATTTCTAAACCTTAAAGTCGGGCTTTCATTCAGTATTTACCTTTAAAGTAACATTGTAAATATGTAAAGTCCTTGTGATTATCCCCCCTAAAGATGAGGCTTTTTTTCAAGGGAAGCTCCTTTTTTCAACCTAAAGCAGGAGTAGCTGTTTTCTACGGAGTCCTGGAGGGTTCATAGAGAGAAAAATAAATAAAACGAGGCCACGTTTTATTAATTTGTGCGCACGAGATGTAATTCGTGGCCTCAATTGAAATAAAACGAGGCCACGCTTTATTAATTTACGCGCACGATATACTTTCTCGTTCGCACGAGATACTTTCTTATGGTAAAACACATCGAACTGCCCGATTATTACGCCATGTTATTAGTTTTATGAAGAATATGTCCGGTCGCCAGGGCGTGTGTGTGTGTGTGTGTGTGTGTGTGTGTGTGTGTGTGTGTGTGTGTGTGTGTGTGTGTGTGTGTGTGTGTGTGTGCTCAGTACCTGTAGTTGGGGGGGGGGGGGGGGGGGGGCATTTGTTTATGATAGTGTTGTTCGTTCCGGTGCACTCCGGCAGGACTACAGCACTACATCGAGATTAAGATTAAACACATTTATTTCACTTGGGAATACACATATAACTATGGAGAACCAGATGTGTGTAAATTACTGTTCATGGTAATTTGAAAACAAATGCCGGTGGTGACGGACACACACAAACACACCGAACACACACACACAGAGCGGAGCTGAGCACAAACACACACACACATCATGCGCCCTGGTGACCGGACATCTCCTTCATAAAACGAGTAATAGGGGGAATACTCTGGCAGTTCGATATGAGGTGTGTGTGGTTAAACGTAGCAGCCTTGATCTCTATTCAGCTGTTCTAATGAAGGGAAACACAGTGAAGTAAACAGTAAAAGGCACAGCTCTTTGCAGCTGGTGCTGCTCTTCTCAGATTCTGCTGAGTTACACAGACTGGTTTACAGACTCTTGTGTTTTGCGAATCCGGTGCTTAAACAAATAGCTCTAAACCCCTGGCCAGAATGTCCCTAAATGAAGTCTGAGTTTGAAATATATCTCAAATAATGTATGCACTGCCATTTCTCCACATAAACATAACAGTCTGCAATGAAACGGTTGTCTCCTCTGTGCTCCACTTCCTACTTGGCGCACCGGTAACTTTCTCGTGCGAACGAGTAACTAACGAAATACTTTCTCGTTTGCACGAAATAGTATTTTGTGCGAACGAGAAAGTATATCGTGCGCACGAGAAACTTTTTTTTCTTCTCCATGAACCTTTAGGGGCTCCGTAGTTTTCTCAACATTAAATATTGTTTTTTCCGTCTCACTTGTTCCCATGTTGCCAGGAGGCTGACATCCACATGCCCTCTGTAGCTGTGTTTGTGCAGCAGCTCCACAACCTCCAGGACGATAACGGAGCGATAGATGTAATAAATATAGTACACTAAAGACACAGTCAGCAAACTGACCTGCAAACAGAGAGAGAGAGAGTTATATTTCTACAGCAGTCAAAGCATAAACAGGTAGATTATTTTAAAGTTAAAACCATGCTGTGACCTTCCACAGGTATGTTGGTTTAAGAGCTGCAGGTTACTTTACCCTGTCAGATAGGTCATTGTGATCTTGTTTGCATTGGTGTGTGGCCAAGTGTGTGTGTGCGTGTTTCTGTGTGTTTACTGTATCTTAAAGTTGTGTGCAAGCTACAAATATATCATATTATGTTGATAGATCTGTTTGATTGTGTTGCACTGTTGTTGGAGCCTATGACCTAATATTTGTATTGTCATAACTTCACTGTAGCTATGTACACATTACAATAAAAGCTTTGAATGTAATAGTTATATGTTTGCCTGTGTGTGTTAGTAGACTCACTTCCAGCCAGTTGCAGGGAGTCCTCCAGTATCCCATCAGCCCTTGCTCCCCTACAGCGTACACTTGACGACAGAGTTGCAGCAGAGACAGGACGAGGAAGAGGAGCTGGAGGGGAGGAAGAAGCACAAGGTGAAAATAAAAAGCAAGCTTCCATTTGTATTTTGTAGATTCTCTTCAGCTGCAGACTAGTGGTTTCCACAGATTAAAAGCTAATGCAGTATTGTACCTGGCACACCATGACACCATAGTCCCCCACAGCAGGAGAGTGACACCCCCCCACTGACTGGACCCTGGCAGAGGGCAGCAGGCCAGCGGGGGGGCTCTGCTCAGTGTGCAGGGTCAAACTGGTGAACAGGTTTGGTGCAGGGCTGAACAAGGTGAAGTGGAGAGAGACAGTATGTCCGTACGTCCAGCCGTCTGACTGCAGGAGCTTCAGTTTGGACGCAGCAGCAGACCTGCAGAAACACAGGAAGTCTTTCAGCACATTTGGAAATTCCTCATACACTACAAACACTCGAAATCTTGCCCAGTATATTTGTCTAATATCTAGTCAGAATATGTCTCTACACCTGATATAAGACATACTAACTTCAGAAGTAACACTGCAGGGAGATATCGGGTCTTGTTTTGAGACAATGCATCATCTTGTTAAGTCAAACATCTATTTGAGTTGTATCTCAGATGAAACTTATTTACATATTTATTTGAAAATCACCAACTAACATCAGAAAACAGAAACACTTTTCAGCATTTGCAGCTTATTTTGTAACACAAAATGTCCTGATCCTGGTAAAATATAGTTTAAAATAAGTTGTCCCAGCTAATTACAAGATCTGATTTATCTAAATATCCCATCTTATTTCAAGATATCTTACCAAGCAAATTTTCACTTGTTCTATTGGCAGATTGTGAAAACAACTTGTTTTTGGAGCAGCATTGTTTCCAGTGTCCTCCCCATCATGTGTGTGTCTGTTTCTCACTTTGTGTGGCCTAAGCCGACTGAAGCACTCTGACCAAACGTCCCTGGAGGCACCGAGTCTTTGGTTTGTTTGTGAGAGGATGATCTGATCCCAGACCAGAACGAGAGAAGACTCTCTGGTACGAGAGTCACACTGGAGACCTGAGCAGTCAGAACAAAACCATAAATTAAAGGTTAAAATCGACGATGAAGGATTAATTCATCTCTTAAGGTAATAATTCAAAACTGTGACACATTTTGCATTACTGGACACAGTATGGGTCAATATGTGTGAAACAGCGCTCTCTAGGGGGGAGTTGGTGCAAAACCATTGATTCAAATAAAGACACTGTATTCTTGAGGGAGAATATTGTTTGACTAAATTGGTAAAGGTGCTACTATAGGGTTAGAAGTACAATCATGTTCATGTTCTAGGAGCTGTCATTATGATGGTCCATGTTTGTAATAGAATAATAGAAGTGGAGTACTTCTGTACATGAAATGTCTCCTCTGGTTATTTACCTTGCGTTGAAAAGCACTCGACTCCTCCCTCCACAGGATTGGCTCTCCAATCAAGATGTGTGACTGCTGCAGGACATCACATTATTAAGCAGAGAAAACGTTGAAATGTTTGTTTTTATATTTCATGATACAGGAACTTGTATTTCCTTAAGAGGGTTACAGAAGCGTGCATTCATGGCATTGGATGAATTATTCTCAAGGTATTTTAGAAACTTCACTGCGATGCCTTTTGTATCTCACCTCAGTGGATGATGAATTCTTGTACAGTGAATGAAGGAGATTCTTCTGTGCCCACGGCCACCAGTCCTCATGCTTTTGGATGGACATGAATGCATTATCATGGCCCCTGTTTGAAGATAAATAATCATTTTGAAGTGTGTCAGAGAGTTAAGGGGATAAAGAGAGAGACAGCATGTTTTAGGATGTCACCTTGTGAACTGTTTTCTGACAGCTTCATTGAGTTGGTAATGGTCAGTGAATGAGCCGCCATAACTTATGCAGAGCATCAGGAGAAGCATGGAGCCACAGACGGACAAATCCCTGGGGTAAAAGAGAAGGAGATATTTTCTTATAGAGCTTTAAAGGGGACCTATTATGCAAAATGCACTTTTATACATAAACACGTGTCCCCTCTGGCGAGAGACCAGGAGGAAAAAACATCATTTGGAAAATTATTGATTCGAAAATAATATGATACAGTACAGTACAAGTACGTCTGGGTCTCTGTGTTTCATTCAAGCTCGGCTCTGTGTGTGTGTGGAACGAGCCATTTTGTGTGCGAGCGAGAGAGAGAGAGCGCACCGGTACCGGAGATCGTTGTTGTTAGCTTCTGGTGCTAGCGAGCTACGCTAACGGATATAAGGAGTTTTTTCAACAACAAGGTGGAGGAGAGTCCTGTCCAGTGTTTAGATAGTTAACTTTAGTCGAAGTTATCTCAGTGGGTCTCAAACGTTTTGGTCACGATTAATGTAAACAATTATTTCTGAGGCACACGTTTATATGATCATTATAGTAATAAAGTTAAAAAGGGTGATTTGTAAAATATATTGATGCATTTAACTTCAATATTTAAAAGAAAATCTTCCCGGGGGAGCATGCCCCCGGACCCCCCTATGTGAGGTCCACACACCACCTATAAAAATAGCACTTTACCCCTGCTTACACCTATATGCCGTGAGCTGATTATCGAGCCTTCATTGTAATGGTCACGGGTACATTGTGTATTTGCGTGGGGATTGTTGCAGTAGAAAATTCAACTGTAGCGCCCGGTACATTAATGGGAAACCCTAAATGTTTGACCACCCTCTATGAAATGTCAAGCTACCCCACAGCACCCCCAAAATAAATCTCTGGCGCCGCCACTGAGCCTGCAACCCCGTTTTGAAGAAATGTGCAGTGCAAAACAGGCTCATTGCAGCCACTAATGCTAAGACAAACTTTTTTGCCAAATATCAGCATTTTCTTTCTTTTCATTTTTTTGCACAGATTGCAAAGTGGCAAAGTATTATAACTTATTGTTCTAGCAAAGGGATTGCACAATTGTATTATGTATTTATTTGTTTGAGCACACAGACTTATGGAGCATTGTTTTATTATCACTGTTCTAGCAAAGTGATTTTTAGATTTTTTTGAAAGGAATGCTCACGTTCATATTGATGTATTTTAATAAATGTTAACTTGGCCCATTACGTGACTATTTGTGTTGGGGGGCCCCGACTTTTTTTTTTCTCCAAAGGGGGGGCCTGACAGAAAAAGTTTGAGAACCACCATCTAAAGTAACAGACAGAGAATCAGCACTTTTGAAACAGGGCTGAAACAGAGGGGATTATGGGATCTGTTTGGTGTTTGGAGCCAAACACTTCAGAGACATGTTTAGTATATATCTGAGACCTGTAATATATTGATGAAAAACAGTATAATAGGCGACCTTTAAATCCCTTAGAAACGGTTGCAAACAAAGACGCACCTGAGAGTGTTCTGGATCAGTGTCTCTCTTCGTTTCTTCCCTCTGGTTTTCCTCAGCTCTGCTGGAGTCGGCGGGCGCACGAGACGGAGAAACCTGACTCGCTGCCGAGCTCCGAGCAGCTGTTAAACACACATCATGACTTTAGATTTAAATAGAGAAAGAATAAATGAAAAGAGAATAAAATGGAGTCTGACTAGCACCTGTTCAAGGTAAGAGCCTCTGTCCTGAGGAAAGGCAGCCTGGTGGCTCTGCAGGTTCTCAAACTCTCTTATACTGGAGGAAGTATGAAAGTCTGATCTATTCCTGAACCAGAAGGAGACCACCACTGCCACTGCAGAAATCTGGGGAAATAAACAATAATATGTACAGTGCAAAGCTTTAAAGAAAGATTAGGCTTGTTTCACGGTTCATACTTGCATTTTGATTTCTACAAACATGCTTTAATGATAAAAAAGAAAAGAAAATGTCTTATAATATCAGTCTAAATATACTTGTATTCACACTAAAAGCTTCATTTAAGTGCCTGTTTCTTTAAGCTCACCTCCTGAAAAAGCACACTTTGCTCTGATATGTGCCATTTAAATTAAGTTAAGACCAAATTGCATAAATATTCTGAGCTTTTGCAGCACATGTGGCATCAACCCAAAAAATATATACCAGATTCCATTTTCCCTTCAAAATAAAAGTCCTAGACATGTAATATACTCATGTCCTTTTCTCTATTTGTTATCATTGGAAAAGGCTTTATTTATTTACCAGGGCCGGCTGGATGATGAAGATGCAGAACACCAGGGAGAAGAACAGCGAGTGCATCCACAGCAGAACCTTGCTGCTGCTGAACCTGACACATGAGAAATACATGTTAGAAAAATATCACTCGTCACCGGCTTGAGCTTCAATCTCAGGATCCATGTATTCCTGATCCTCTCCAGAATGGAAGTAGTCATCACAAACAGAGCATCAACTAGTTCCTGAACAGTGTCCTTCACATGCTGATATCCAAGAGAGGGAGTTACACAGTCACAAGATGGAGGAATAGAAAGCAGTATTCAATGTTTACTTCAGATTAGCTCCACGTCAGAAATGATCATGCTTGTCATATGTCTATCTCCATAGAGGCTGAATCATCATGTTAATCACATAGCTATCATATGCCTAAAACAGTCCTGATGCTCTTCTAGGTAATCATACATCCTGTCATGTACACAGCTACAGTTGGGATACCTTTGTTATCATGTTACTCTCATATTGGAAGAGTACATTCAGTATTTTCCCAACAATAAACATTATGACTGAGATATTTTAAAGAGTCAGTATTGATAATAAATCTGTCAGCATTATCCACACCACTTCACAATCCTCCAGATGTCTGTTACCTCATCCCCAGCACTGCAGAGAGCACCAGGCAGCAGAGGGACATCAGCAGACACAAAGTCCAGGCCAGGTAGAGACCGCAGTGAGATCTGAATCCTCCTCCCTTCAGAGGGACGTCCTCCTCCAAGCTGCCGTCCGATGAACCCCCATCAACACTTCTCGGTTCCTGTCCTCCATCCCTCGTACCAAACTCTTTTCCCGGAGGTGTTTGATTGGCATTGTCCCCCTCGTTAATGAGCAACAAACTGCAAAGTGTTGTGATTTCAGGTTCTTTATCCGTGATTTTATTTACCTGAATCGTAGGGGACACTGATGTTAGATATGTGCCCTGAAAACACAAGAATTCGAGTCAGACAGGGTTCACCATGTTGTGGGAATAAAGATATAAAGAGTTTTCTTTTTCGATAGTCTCCATTTCTTTTATCTGTCAGATGATCATAATAGTGTTCAGGACAACGCATGTATGTACTATTAATTCATAGTTTGTATAATAAGAGGGATTATTTCTTAGGAAAATCCTACTTCAAGGATTCTCAGAGTTAAAGTGTATTCCATCCAATACTCTCTTTGTTTTTACTTTAAAAAGGACAGTACATTATTTTGTTAATTTCATTTTTTTCTGTAGAATCAGCTTTTTCACTTGCAGACGTAGGTTTTTACAGATCAAAAGCTAATGTAGTATTTTACTTTGCACAGGAAATGTATATTTTATGGTTTGTATTTTGTAATATGTGCATTCTTGCTCATATCGTCTGACAAGCCTCTCTCCTTGATATGCATTCAAGAAATTGAGATATCCTTTAAGATGGCACAGCGAGATTGCATTCAGGGTCACAGACGAGCAGAGTGAGAGGACAGAGCGAGGGTCACCTGGTATTTCTTCCTCCAGGTGTCCTGCGCCCACAGCTGCAGAACGCTCCAGGAGAGATGGGGCTCCGATATACTGCCGCTCACTGAACAATCATCTGAGAGGAGACGAGTCACAATAAAATAAGGAGAAAGAGAAAAGGAGGTGAGGAGACAAGATAAGATAAGGTTTACTTGATTGAATCCCATTGGGAAATATTATCCTCACAGCAGCATGTTAGAACAAGGCTTTGCACATGAAATAGAAACATCTCAAAATAGAAAATAAAACAGAACTAAAGAGTAAAATATACATGTTAATAGTAAAAGATAAACATCGGTAGACAAGCCAAATTACAACTAACAAAACGTAAAAGTAGGATATCATTCATTTAAATGAAGTGTGCAAGTAGGATATATTAAAAGAAGAAAGAAGGAGAAGATTATAGTCTATGTCAAGTCGTTTTAAGACATTTTAATGCAGAAATGTCAATTAGACTTTAAATACCAAATCTGACCTTGAAAGAAGTCCTTTCCAGTCGTTCTGCTCTTGGCGTGTTGAACTCTCTCGACCTCTTTCTGTCTGAACAGGAATGATATAACTGCTGCTGCTGGCAACATCACACACACACTCAGAACTCCTGTCCGCACAGAAACAGCTGTTGCCTCTACACAGCCAAACTGGAAGGGCAACTGCAAACAACGGATCAGCGTTAAAATGTTTTGGACACTCTTGGGGCTCTAAATATTAAACTCTATAGGTTTTATTAACAAACCTGGTCATCCATTTGTGATATGATCAGGGTGCTGACACATGCATATCCCAGCAGAAGCAGCAGGCTCACACACAGTCTCTGAGTGTGTGTGAACGCGTTGGGGCAGGGGCAGCTGTACAAAGATATCCATATGTGGTAATCGGCCAAATACTCTGATAGCTTGAGACTCAGCATCTGCAAGGGGGGAAGATATTAATATTAGTTTTTTGTATCTGAGTGTATGTGTATGAGGACTCTGTACCTTAAAAAAGCCTATTCCACGAGTGCATTTTCCCAGAATCCTCTCCACCCGCCCGTCACTTTGGTTCACAGCCAACCAGCACTGAGCCACAAAGAGCCACGCACGTCCCTTCAGCTGCCCTCTGCTCACCTGGGTTATTAAGAAACAGAAGGAAAACAAACCATATTCAAAAAGAAAGTCCACGCAAATCCCCAGCACTTTACCCAGAGAACAACATTTGCACATCAATGACTGATCCTGTGTTACAGTTTTATCCCAAAGGCCATAAGACTGATGAACTCCTGAGCTCTGTGCCTTCACAACTTCATACCATCTGTTCATCTCACATGTTTATCTACTATATAATGTACTATTGTTGTACACATGTCTATTATTAAATATACATGTTCAAATATATTACACAGTATTCATGTGTAAATAAGACCCATTTTCAAACAAATTCAGTCAATTAAAGTTGAAAACATTTTCTAACAAATCTAAGATAAGATAAGAAAAAAGCCCAATAACAAATGTACATAACAACCTTGAAATATACCCTTCATATTTCCTCTTATTAAAAGCAATCTGAAGTTTCTGTTTTAGGGAATGAGCTGCTAACAAAATTAAGTAAACCCTCTGGAGGGCTGTGAGCTGTTGTGTTTCTTAAAGCATTTTCAAGTATCAAGAATAATGTACCTACATTTGATTTTTCCAACTTATAACTGAACCTATGAGGCGATATACCTCTCCTCTAGCGAGTGGCCCAGCCCTTCGTATATTCTTCTGTATGTGGCCCTCGGTGAAAAAGCTTTGGACACCCCTGGGGTAAAGGATGTGTGTGGTAATGTCATTCTTTACCTCGGACACGTCCAGGTGTTTGATGTTCCAGCTCGGGGAGGGTCCAGAGTTGTCGTGCCAGATGTGCACCCCCCACACAGGGCCCAGGCTGTCGGCTGCACTGTGGGGTCAGAGACAGACCGCCTTCATCAATGAGCAAAAACAATTCAAAGCAGCTCAATAATGATGTGAGATTGATGTAAAACGCATCAGTGTATTGACTTTATGTGGAGATTTTGATTTCACCTGATGATAAAGGTGTCTTGAGAGTTCCTCCTGAACAGAGTGCATCCTGGGACATGTAGTTCTCTTGTCTGTGAGAAACCATCTTCCCCTTTGAGCACCATGTACACCTGTTAAACACAAATAGAGGTTTCCTTTGAATATCGGATCATTTTGGGTAGCTTAGTTTAATACAAGTCAAGGAAAACAAGGTCTAATCACAAATAAAAGAGAGATATAGAAAAATCAGGAATAATGCACTTTCTTTTAAAGAACAGAATTCAAGTTGTTGTTTCCCCTTTACTATCAGTAAGATGTCCAGGGACGTTTGGATGTATTTGTATATGTGTAATCAAAGACATCTGCTGGATTCTCATGGCCTTGCCAGTGACCTGTTTAACGTGGATATAAAGACGGGAACAGAGCGAGACATGTCTCCCTTCTCTGTCTGAACAGCGATATTTCAGAATGAGGAGAGCTGCAGTTTGTCTGGCGTTGCTGCTCTGTCTGCTCTGGACGGGGGCTCAGGGTGAGGATGGAGGGGGGACAGGGAAGAAAGAGGGGGAGTTTGATATCCAAGAAGAGAAAGCAGCCCACGATCAGAGCAGCAGTGAGACCCAGATGAGCACTGACGTCTGGGCTGAGCTGAAGGAGATCAGAGACATGGCCATCGAACACAGGATCAAGATCCAGAGGCTGGAGCAAGACAACACAGGTGACACACCTGACGTAAAACACACTGAGAGCCACGTCACGCTGCACTGATACATGCAGTCATCATCATTTAGATATAAAATTAATGTTTGTGAAAGTTGTCGTACTTGGTCAAGCTCCAGAGTAACATTTAGCATGACCCTAATACAAAAACTCAATATTTGTTCAGCTTTTGAAAAAGAGGTGGGGGAGCTCCAGAAAGAGAACACAGGTAATAATCAGAAACTCTACTACTAAACATTTCCCATTTCATAATTAACCTATTAATAGGATATATCATGAGGTTGTTAATCAGCTGTTAACCTGCTTTTTCTTTTTTATTGCAGATCTTCAGGCTCGAGTCACAGCAAGTGAGAATAAGAGCTCAGGTAGGATTACAAAGTAATCAAAGAAACATTTGAAAACTGACAAACACAAATCTATATTACTGTAAATTAGTTAGGACCTTTTCAAGAAACTGACCATAATGTTATGTAACTGTAAACATTTTAATCTTGTTCAGCTCTAGAGGCCAACATGAGCTTCAGTGAAAATGAAGTGCAGGAGCTGAAGATAGACACTGCAGGTAAGTGACAAAAACCTCATAAAAAATAAAAAATGTCCTGTCTTATGTGTGAAAAAAATGTTTAAAATACACGGGAGATAAGAGGAACACATTTATAATACTGATGAGATATAAATGTTGTTGTTTATTAGCCATTAACCTGCTTTTTCGTAAAAATCTGATTCTAAAACTGAAAGAAACTGAAACCATAATTTTATTTTACTTAACATTTTACATTTGTTCAGTTTTAGAGTCCAGGATGAGCTCCAGTGAAAAGGAGGTGCAGGAGCTCCAGAGAGTGAACGCGGGTACGTTTAAAAAACATCATAAAAAATGATGCCAACAAAATGAAAAAAAGACACAATCTTGTTTATAAGTCAAATGTTATTTACCTGTTTTCTATGTCTAAACATGTTTCAGCTTTAGAGGCAAGGATGAGCTCTAGTGAAAAGGAGGTGGAGGAGGTAAAGAGAGTGAACGCAGGTAAGATATAGAAATATAATATAAAAGGTAAATATTGCCTATAATGATAGAAAACTAATGAGTTTGACATAATGAAGAGATAATCTGCTTTTTCTCTTTGTTGCAGATCTTCTGGCTCGAGTCACAGCAAGTGAGAATAACAGCACAGGTAGGAGTACAAATGAATCAAATGAGAATAGGAGGAAGGATAAATATAATTGTATTTTTCGAAAAACTTTGGATTTGTTGCCGTTTTAAAAGTGAATATTATAGTATGGTAGAACATTATTTTAAGATAAGAAATAGTGAAATTGACAATCAAATCAAATCAAATCAAATCAAGGTTTATTTATAGAGCACATTTAAAAGCGATTTTTGGTCGGGCCAAAGTGCTGTACATGTAATAACCACAATCACATAAAAACACATTTCTATAATCACAATAAAAGACAATAAATTACAACAGATATTTAAAAAGAAAACACAGGGAAAAGTCAGGAGTCGTGCTCCGCTCTGACTAAAAGGCCAGGGAGAAGAAGTGTGTCTTAAGAGTAGATTTAAAAACCCCTAGGGTCTGGGCCGACCTCACATGGAGGGGCAGAGTGTTCCAGAGCCTCGGGCCAGCTGCTGCGAAGGCTCGGTGCCCTCGGGTTTTGAGCCTTGTCTTGGGCACTACCAGCAGCAGCTGGTCAGCAGACCTTAAAGCTCTTGTTGGGGTGTAGCGCTGGAGGAGTTCAGCTATATAGGCCGGAGCCAGCCCATTTAGTGCTTTGAAAACAAATAAAAGGATTTTAAAATAAATTCTGAACCGAATTGGAAGCCAGTGCAGTGAGGCCAGAATTGGGGTGATGTGGTCACGCTTTTTGTGGCCAGTGAGTAGACGTGCAGCTGCGTTCTGGACTAGCTGCAGGCGTTTAATTGACGCCTGGTCCATACCCACGTACAGAGCGTTGCAGTAGTCCAACCTCGAGGTAACAAAGGCGTTAATAACCCTTTCCAGGTCCTCAAACGATAAAAACGACTTAGTCTTGGCCAATAGTCGTATTTAAAAAAAGCAGGTTTTGACTACGCTGCTGACCTGCTTATCAAATTTAAAAGCGCTATTGAAGGTCACTCCAAGGTTCGTGACAGAGGGGAGGATATTATTTTTGAGGGAGCCCAGAATATCAACCTGGGAGGCTAGAGGTTGGAGTCCAAAAAAGATAACCTCAGTCTTGCTCTCTTTGAGGTTGAGGAAATTTTGGCTCAGCCAGGATTTGATCTCTGCTAAGCAGTCCATCAATAGCTGTAATGAGTTAACATTTGAATTGAGAGGCAGATAGATCTGTACATCGTCGGCGTAGCAGTGGAAGGGGATGTTGTGTTTTGTGAGAATTGAACCTAGGGGCAGTATGTACAGTAGAAAAAGGATGGGGCCCAAAATCGAGCCTTGGGGAACCCCACAGGTAAGAGGGGCTATGGCTGAGGAGAAGGCACCTAGCTGCACTGAGAAGCTACGGTCTGTCAGGTAGGACCTGAACCATGCATTTTGGCTGCTTTGACTGCCGTCTGGTAGTCGGAAAGGCAAGCACGAAGGATTTCTAAGGAGACATGGAGTTTATCCTTTTTCCATTTTCTCTCTGCACGCCTGCAGGTGCTTCTAAGAGCGCGAGTACAGTCATTGAGCCACAGCTCTGAGAGAACTTTGGTGCGTCTAAGCGTAAAAGGAGCAACAGAATCCAGTATTAGGGTACATGTCGAGTCAAACATGGAGATAAGCTCATCAGCACTAAAAACACAGTTCACCTCTAATTTACAGATAGGAGAAGCATTAAAAACATCAGAAAACTGTGAGGCAGTCAAGGGGTTAATCGAACGCAGACGACGCGCAGGGGCACGTGATTCGACTCCTGCGGAAGGGATCGAGGTTGTAAACAGAACCGGTAAATGGTCTGAGATACGCGTTGCTGCACATATTTCATCCACAGAGACAGACAGTCCAAACGATAATACTAAGTCCAAGGTGTGTCCTTTTTCGTGTGTTGGGCCAGCCACGGACTGAACGAGACCAAAAGAATCAAGGAGACAATAAGAGACTATAACCTTATTTGACTAAAACAATGTTAAACTTGTTCAGTTTTAGAGTCCAGGATGAGTTCCAGTGAAAAGGAGGTGCAGGAGCTCCAGAGAGTGAACGCAGGTACGTTTAAAAAACATCATAAAAAATGATGCCAACAAAATGAAAAAAAAGACACAATCTTGTTTATAAGTCAAATGTTATTTACCTGTTTTCTATGTCTAAACATGTTTCAGCTTTAGAGGCAAGGATGAGCTCTAGTGAAAAGGAGGTGGAGGAGGTAAAGAGAGTGAACGCAGGTAAGATATAGAAATATAATATAAAAGGTAAATATTGCCTATAATGATAGAAAACTAATGAGTTTGACATAATGAAGAGATAATCTGCTTTTTCTCTTTGTTGCAGATCTTCTGGCTCGAGTCACAGCAAGTGAGAATAAGAGCACAGGTAGGAGTACAAATGAATCAAATGAGAATAGGAGGAAGGATAAATATAATTGTATTTTTCGAAAAACTTTGGATTTGTTGCCGTTTTAAAAGTGAATATTATAGTATGGTAGAACATTATTTTAAGATAAGAAATAGTGAAATTGACAATCAAATCAAATCAAATCAAATCAAATCAAGGTTTATTTATAGAGCATATTTAAAAGCGATTTTTGGTCGGGCCAAAGTGCTGTACATGTAATAACTACAATCACATAAAAACACATTTCTATAATCACAATAAAAGACAATAAATTACAACAGATATTTAAAAAGAAAACACAGGGAAAAGTCAGGAGTCGTGCTCCGCTCTGACTAAAAGGCCAGGGAGAAGAAGTGTGTCTTAAGAGTAGATTTAAAAACCCCTAGGGTCTGGGCCGACCTCACATGGAGGGGCAGAGTGTTCCAGAGCCTCGGGCCAGCTGCTGCGAAGGCTCGGTGCCCTCGGGTTTTGAGCCTGGTCTTGGGCACTATCAGCAACAGCTGGTCAGCAGACCTTAAAGCTCTTGTTGGGGTGTAGCGCTGGAGGAGTTCAGCTATATAGGCCGGAGCCAGCCCATTTAGTGCTTTAAAAACAAATAAAAGGAGTTTAAAATCAATTCTGAACCGAATTGGAAGCCAGTGCAGTAAGGCCAGAATTGGGGTGATGTGGTCACGCTTTTTGTGGCCAGTGAGTAGACGTGCAGCTGCGTTCTGGACTAGCTGCAGGCGTTTAATTGACGCCTGGTCCATACCCACGTACAGAGCGTTGCAGTAGTCCAACCTCGAGGTAACAAAGGCGTTAATAACCCTTTCCAGGTCCTCAAACGATAAAAACGACTTAGTCTTGGCCAATAGTCGTATTTTAAAAAAGCAGGTTTTGACTACGCTGCTGACCTGCTTATCGAATTTAAAAGCGCTATTGAAGGTCACTCCAAGGTTTGTGACAGAGGGGAGGATATTATTTTTGAGGGAGCCCAGAATATCAACCTGGGAGGCTAGAGGTTGGGGTCCAAAAAAGATGACCTCAGTCTTGCTCTCTTTGAGGTTGAGGAAATGTTGGCTCAGCCAGGATTTGATCTCTGCTAAGCAGTCCATCAATAGCTATAATGAGTTAACATTTGAATTGAGTGGCAGATAGATCTGTACATCGTCGGTGTAGCAGTGGAAGGGGATGTTGTGTTTTGTGAGAATTGAACCTAGGGGCAGTATGTACAGTAGAAAAAGGATGGGGCCCAAAATCGAGCCTTGGGGAACCCCACAGGTAAGAGGGGCTATGGCTGAGGAGAAGGCACCTAGCTGCACTGAGAAGCTACGGTCTGTCAGGTAGGACCTGAACCATGCATTTTGGCTGCTTTGACTGCCGTCTGGTAGTCGGAAAGGCAAGCACGAAGGATTTCTAAGGAGACATGGAGTTTATCCTTTTTCCATTTTCTCTCTGCACGCCTGCAGGTGCTTCTAAGAGCGCGAGTACAGTCATTGAGCCACGGCTCTGAGAGAACTTTGGTGCGTCTAAGCGTAAAAGGAGCAACAGAATCCAGTATTAGTGTACATGTCGAGTCAAACATGGAGATAAGCTCATCAGCACTAAAAACACAGTTCACCTCTAATTTACAGATAGGAGAAGCATTAAAAACATCAGAAAACTGTGAGGCAGTCAAGGGGTTAATCGAACGCAGACGACGCGCAGCGGCACGTGATTCGACTCCTGCGGAAGGGATCGAGGTTGTAAACAGAACCGGTAAATGGTCTGAGATACGCGTTGCTGCACATATTTCATCCACAGAGACAGACAGTCCAAACGATAATACTAAGTCCAAGGTGTGTCCTTTTTCGTGTGTTGGGCCAGCCACGGACTGAACGAGACCAAAAGAATCAAGGAGACAATAAGAGACTATAACCTTATTTGACTAAAACAATGTTAAACTTGTTCAGTTTTAGAGTCCAGGATGAGTTCCAGTGAAAAGGAGGTGCAGGAGCTCCAGAGAGTGAACGCGGGTAAGTTTCAAAAACATCATAAAAAATGATGCCAACAAAATGAAAAAAATACACAATCTTGTTTATAAGTCAAATGTTATTTACCTGTTTTCTATGTCTAAACATGTTTCAGCTTTAGAGGCAAGGATGAGCTCTAGTGAAAAGGAGGTGGAGGAGGTAAAGAGAGTGAACGCAGGTAAGATATAGAAATATAATATAAAAGGTAAATATTGCCTATAATGATAGAAAACTAATGAGTTTGACATAATGAAGAGATAATCTGCTTTTTCTCTTTGTTGCAGATCTTCTGGCTCGAGTCACAGCAAGTGAGAATAAGAGCACAGGTAGGAGTACAAATGAATCAAATGAGAATAGGAGGAAGGATAAATATAATTGTATTTTTCGAAAAACTTTGGATTTGTTGCCGTTTTAAAAGTGAATATTATAGTATGGTAGAACATTATTTTAAGATAAGAAATAGTGAAATTGACAATCAAATCAAATCAAATCAAATCAAGGTTTATTTATAGAGCACATTTAAAAGCGATTTTTGGTCGGGCCAAAGTGCTGTACATGTAATAACTACAATCACATAAAAACACATTTCTATAATCACAATAAAAGACAATAAATTACAACAGATATTTAAAAAGAAAACACAGGGAAAAGTCAGGAGTCGTGCTCCGCTCTGACTAAAAGGCCAGGGAGAAGAAGTGTGTCTTAAGAGTAGATTTAAAAACCCCTAGGGTCTGGGCCGACCTCACATGGAGGGGCAGAGTGTTCCAGAGCCTCGGGCCAGCTGCTGCGAAGGCTCGGTGCCCTCGGGTTTTGAGCCTTGTCTTGGGCACTATCAGCAACAGCTGGTCAGCAGACCTTAAAGCTCTTGTTGGGGTGTAGCGCTGGAGGAGTTCAGCTATATAGGCCGGAGCCAGCCCATTTAGTGCTTTAAAAACAAATAAAAGGAGTTTAAAATCAATTCTGAACCGAATTGGAAGCCAGTGCAGTGAGGCCAGAATTGGGGTGATGTGGTCACGCTTTTTGTGGCCAGTGAGTAGACGTGCAGCTGCGTTCTGGACTAGCTGCAGGCGTTTAATTGACGCCTGGTCCATACCCACGTACAGAGTGTTGCAGTAGTCCAACCTCGAGGTAACAAAGGCGTTAATAACCCTTTCCAGGTCCTCAAACGATAAAAACGACTTAGTCTTGGCCAATAGTCGTATTTTAAAAAAGCAGGTTTTGACTACGCTGCTGACCTGCTTATCGAATTTAAAAGCGCTATTGAAGGTCACTCCAAGGTTCGTGACAGAGGGGAGGATATTATTTTAGAGGGAGCCCAGAATATCAACCTGGGAGGCTAGAGGTTGGGGTCCAAAAAAGATGACCTCAGTCTTGCTCTCTTTGAGGTTGAGGAAATGTTGGCTCAGCCAGGATTTGATCTCTGCTAAGCAGTCCATCAATAGCTATAATGAGTTAACATTTGAATTGAGTGGCAGATAGATCTGTACATCGTCGGCGTAGCAGTGGAAGGGGATGTTGTGTTTTGTGAGAATTGAACCTAGGGGCAGTATGTACAGTAGAAAAAGGATGGGGCCCAAAATCGAGCCTTGGGGAACCCCACAGGTAAGAGGGGCTATGGCTGAGGAGAAGGCACCTAGCTGCACTGAGAAGCTACGGTCTGTCAGGTAGGACCTGAACCATGCATTTTGGCTGCTTTGACTGCCGTCTGGTAGTCGGAAAGGCAAGCACGAAGGATTTCTAAGGAGACATGGAGTTTATCCTTTTTCCATTTTCTCTCTGCACGCCTGCAGGTGCTTCTAAGAGCGCGAGTACAGTCATTGAGCCACGGCTCTGAGAGAACTTTGGTGCGTCTAAGCGTAAAAGGAGCAACAGAATCCAGTATTAGGGTACATGTCGAGTCAAACATGGAGATAAGCTCATCAGCACTAAAAACACAGTTCACCTCTAATTTACAGATAGGAGAAGCATTAAAAACATCAGAAAACTGTGAGGCAGTCAAGGGGTTAATCGAACGCAGACGACGCGCAGGGGCACGTGATTCGACTCCTGCGGAAGGGATCGAGGTTGTAAACAGAACCGGTAAATGGTCTGAGATACGCGTTGCTGCACATATTTCATCCACAGAGACAGACAGTCCAAACGATAATACTAAGTCCAAGGTGTGTCCTTTTTCGTGTGTTGGGCCAGCCACGGACTGAACGAGACCAAAAGAATCAAGGAGACAATAAGAGACTATAACCTTATTTGACTAAAACAATGTTAAACTTGTTCAGTTTTAGAGTCCAGGATGAGTTCCAGTGAAAAGGAGGTGCAGGAGCTCCAGAGAGTGAACGCGGGTAAGTTTCAAAAACATCATAAAAAATGATGCCAACAAAATGAAAAAAAGACACAATCTTGTTTATAAGTCAAATGTTATTTACCTGTTTTCTATGTCTAAACATGTTTCAGCTTTAGAGGCAAGGATGAGCTCTAGTGAAAAGGAGGTGGAGGAGGTAAAGAGAGTGAACGCAGGTAAGATATAGAAATATAATATAAAAGGTCAATATTGCCTATAATGATAGAAAACTAATGAGTTTGACATAATGAAGAGATAATCTGCTTTTTCTCTTTGTTGCAGATCTTCTGGCTCGAGTCACAGCAAGTGAGAATAAGAGCACAGGTAGGAGTACAAATGAATCAAATGAGAATAGGAGGAAGGATAAATATAATTGTATTTTTCGAAAAACGTTGGATTTGTTGCCGTTTTAAAAGTGAATATTATAGTATGGTAGAACATTATTTTAAGATAAGAAATAGTGAAATTGACAATCAAATCAAATCAAATCCAATCAAGGTTTATTTATAGAGCACATTTAAAAGCGATTTTTGGTCGGGCCAAAGTGCTGTACATGTAATAACTACAATCACATAAAAACACATTTCTATAATCACAATAAAAGACAATAAATTACAACAGATATTTAAAAAGAAAACACAGGGAAAAGTCAGGAGTCGTGCTCCGCTCTGACTAAAAGGCCAGGGAGAAGAAGTGTGTCTTAAGAGTAGATTTAAAAACCCCTAGGGTCTGGGCCGACCTCACATGGAGGGGCAGAGTGTTCCAGAGCCTCGGGCCAGCTGCTGCGAAGGCTCGGTGCCCTCGGGTTTTGAGCCTGGTCTTGGGCACTATCAGCAACAGCTGGTCAGCAGACCTTAAAGCTCTTGTTGGGGTGTAGCGCTGGAGGAGTTCAGCTATATAGGCCGGAGCCAGCCCATTTAGTGCTTTAAAAACAAATAAAAGGAGTTTAAAATCAATTCGGAACCGAATTGGAAGCCAGTGCAGTGAGGCCAGAATTGGGGTGATGTGGTCACGCTTTTTGTGGCCAGTGAGTAGACGTGCAGCTGCGTTCTGGACTAGCTGCAGGCGTTTAATTGACGCCTGGTCCATACCCACGTACAGAGCGTTGCAGTAGTCCAACCTCGAGGTAACAAAGGCATTAATAACCCTTTCCAGGTCCTCAAACGATAAAAACGACTTAGTCTTGGCCAATAGTCGTATTTTTAAAAAAGCAGGTTTTGACTACGCTGCTGACCTGCTTATCGAATTTAAAAGCGCTATTGAAGGTCACTCCAAGGTTCGTGACAGAGGGGAGGATATTATTTTTGAGGGAGCCCAGAATATCAACCTGGGAGGCTAGAGGTTGGAGTCCAAAAAAGATAACCTCAGTCTTGCTCTCTTTGAGGTTGAGGACATTTTGGCTCAGCCAGGATTTGATCTCTGCTAAGCAGTCCATCAATAGCTGTAATGAGTTAACATTTGAATTGAGTGGCAGATAGATCTGTACATCGTCGGCGTAGCAGTGGAAGGGGATGTTGTGTTTTGTGAGAATTGAACCTAGGGGCAGTATGTACAGTAGAAAAAGGATGGGGCCCAAAATCGAGCCTCTGGGAACCCCACAGGTAAGAGGGGCTATGGCTGAGGAGAAGGCACCTAGCTGCACTGAGAAGCTACGGTCTGTCAGGTAGGACCTGAACCATGCAAGGGCAAAGCCTGTGATGCCAGCGGACTGTTCAAGCCGTGACAACAGGATGCTATGGTCCACAGTGTCGAAGGCAGCTGTCAGGTCTAACAGCACCAAGACAGCTGGGCTACCTGAGTCGGCGGCTAGGAGCAGATCATTAAAAACTCTTAAAAGGGCTGTTTCAGTACTGTGCATGGGTTTGAAGCCAGACTGAAACTTTTCATGGATTCCATGCATGGTTAAAAAAGACTGCAGCTGGGCGTAGACTACTCGCTCCAGGGCTTTTGATAAAAAAGGTAGCTGGGAGATGGGCCTAACATTTGCGAGAATGGAGGGGTCGAGATTTATTTTTTTAAGTAGTGGCTTAACCACGGCATGTTTGAAGGCAGCTGGGACACATCCTGAGCTAAGAGAGGTATTTATAAGTAATAAAATACTTGCTCCAACTGATCCTAAAACATCTCTGAGTAGGCGAGAGGGAATGCTGTCTGAGGTGCAGTTTGTCGGCCGCAGGTGCTTGACTACATCCGAGAGAGAAGAGAGGGATACAGGCTCAAAGTGGTCGAGGACAGCAGGGCACAGAAAAGGAGCAGGATCTGGGGTAGCACTAGTGTGGGCTAGCCTAAGAGCAGATACTTTTTCAATAAAAAATGTAAGAAACTTATCACAGAGAGTAGTCGATGGGACAATAGAAGAAACATCACAGGGATTAATGATCGAGTTGAGGACATTAAAAAGAACTTGAGGTTTATGGCTGTTTTTGGAGATTAACAGAGAAATGTGCTCTGTTTTGGCTGCTTTGACTGCCGTCTGGTAGTCGGAAAGGCAAGCACGAAGGATTTCTAAGGAGACATGGAGTTTATCCTTTTTCCATTTTCTCTCTGCACGCCTGCAAGCGCGTCTGAGAGCACGAGTACAGTCATTGAGCCACGGCTCTGAGAGAACTTTGGTGCGTCTAAGCGTAAAAGGAGCAACAGAATCCAGTATTAGTGTACATGTCGAGTCAAACATGGAGATAAGCTCATCAGCACTAAAAACACAGTTCACCTCTAATTTACAGATAGGAGAAGCATTAAAAACATCAGAAAACTGTGAGGCAGTCAAGGGGTTAATCGAACGCAGACGACGCGCAGGGGCACGTGATTCGACTCCTGCGGAAGGGATCGAGGTTGTAAACAGAACCGGTAAATGGTCTGAGATACGCGTTGCTGCACATATTTCATCCACAGAGACAGACAGTCCAAACGATGATACTAAATCTAAGGTGTGTCCTTTATCGTGTGTTGGGTCAGTCACGGACTGAACGAGACCAAAAGAATCAAGGAGACAATAAGAGACTATAACCTTATTTGACTAAAACAATGTTAAACTTGTTCAGTTTTAGAGGCCAGGATGAGTTCCAGTGAAAAGGAGGTGCAGGAGCTCCAGAGAGTGAACGCGGGTAAGTTTCAAAAACATCATAAAAAATGATGCCAACAAAATGAAAAAAAGACACAATCTTGTTTATAAGTCAAATGTTATTTACCTGTTTTCTATGTCTAAACATGTTTCAGCTTTAGAGGCAAGGATGAGCTCTAGTGAAAAGGAGGTGGAGGAGGTAAAGAGAGTGAACGCAGGTAAGATATAGAAATATAATATAAAAGGTCAATATTGCCTATAATGATAGAAAACTAATGAGTTTGACATAATGAAGAGATAATCTGCTTTTTCTCTTTGTTGCAGATCTTCTGGCTCGAGTCACAGCAAGTGAGATTAAGAGCACAGGTAGGAGTACAAATGAATCAAATGAGAATAGGAGGAAGGACAAATATAATTGTATTTTTCGAAAAACCGTTGGATTTGTTGCCGTTTTAAAAGTGAATATTATAGTATGGTAGAACATTATTTTAAGATAAGAAATTGTGAAATTGACAATAAGAGACTATAACCTTATTTGACTAAAACAATGTTGAACTTGTTCAGCTTTAGAGTCCAGGATGAGCTCCAGTGAAAAGGAGGTGGAGGAGCTCCAGAGAGAGAACACAGGTGAGAAACAGAAACTATTATGAAGAGTCAAAATGTTGTTTAAAGAAAGGAACTGGTATACTGAGGAGAATATTAAATATCAAACTATGCTGGCTATATCAGCATCCAAAAAACAGACTTTATTTTTGTTTTAATAGACAGTTTGTTAATGAGTTCTCATCTCTCTGTGTGCATCCTCACAGACCGTCCTCAGGTGGCGTTCTCAGCCGGTCTAACTGGTTCAGGAGTAGTCGGACCCTTCACCACTGATACCACACTGAAGTACAGTAAAGTCTTCACCAATATCGGCCAGGCCTACAGCCCAACTACAGGTACTGAAAACAACGCACGCACGCACGCACACACGCACGCACGCACGCACGCACGCTTCTTAGTTTTCCTACAGTTGATCTTGGTAGAAAATAGAACCAAGTCAAGAGCTCCTACATGCTCCTTATTTAAAAAACCCATCCTTAAGTCCTGCTGAAGCACCAGAAACAATCTCCCCTCACTGACCTTCTCCTCTGATGCAGGTATCTTCACAGCCCCCATCAAAGGAGTCTACTACTTCAGCTTCAACATGTGGGGAAGCCGCTTTGTATCAGATACCGCTCTTGAATTCGCTCTCAACAACGTGATGAAGATGAGGCTTCAAGATTACAATGATGCCTATGGCTATGTCTCTGCGGCTAACTCAATTGTTCTTCAGCTGGAGAAGGGAGATGTTGCCAACATCGTTCTGCCCTCCAGCTACAACGTTTATGGTGATTTGTATAATCGCATGATTTTCAGTGGATTTCTACTCATTCCTCTGTGAAGCCCACTGTAAAACACCCACTGCATTAAGTTTCAACATTACATATTAATAAATAAGTGTGTTGACTCAACTTATATAATTGTTTGTGTTTATTTTTGCTTGGTTACATGAACAAGAGGCATTCATTACCATAACAACGTTTTCTACGGACAATATAAGAGAAACACTTTAGCAGTACTGTTGTTGTCCAAGCCCCCTAAACCGAGACCAAGTCCAGACCAAAGAGCCCTCTACAGTCTGTGCCCTGACGACAGAACTGTGATACGATTAACAGCAAACCATAGACACTCCTCACAATGATCTGTAAAATCTACATCTCCATAAAAACAACAATGAAGACTCTTCTTCTTCATTTACCTCTTTCATTGCCATATATACCTATATGTGAAACTTGAGACCAAGACCGATTTCAAGCACTACTACACTGCATTCAAGTGTCAATAAACATAAAAGGATGTCAAATGAACTCTTTTACAGAACAATATTATGCTGAGAAACCAACCATGCATCCATTCAACACTTAAAGAGGCGCTATTATGTTTTTTGGGGGGGGGGTCCCTCTCCTGTAGTGTGTTATATAGGTTTCTGTGCATGTCAACGGTCTGCTAAATTCCCTGTGTTCCCTCCAGAGGGAGTTTCACTCTCACAAAAAAACAACCTTACCTTTGCACTCATACGTGCTGCAGAGCAGAGAGCGGTGTGGATGGTAACAGCGTAGAGGTACGGGTCACACGGGGAGTTGTCGGAGAGGTAGTGGACTCTCCGGTGAGTCTCTGAGGCGACATCAGCTCTGAAACTCAGCAGCAGCGCCGGGACGGAGAGGCTCAAACACAGCAGCAGCACCAGCAGCACCGTCAGGTCTCTGCGCACACTGAGAGGGAGGATGGACTCTTATCTTTACATTAAAAAAAAACATATTTTCATTACTGATTAATTTGCAGATTATTACCTAATTCAAGCAATTAATCGGTTGGTCTATAAAATATCAGAAAATGGTCAAACAAATCCCAGTTTCTCAAAGTCCAAAGTGATGTATTTAAAAAAATATATATATATCAGAAAAGCAGGACATCTACATATTTGAGTCTGAAAACTGGATTTGAAAAGGTTGTTTTTTTGTATCAATCAACAAATATACTCATTGTTGCAGCTCTTTTGTCACCCCCCCTGTCAACGCCTTTGAGGATACTCTTCATTCATCCCCCAGCTCTCTCTACTCTCCGCTCACCCTTTCACCCTCGCCCTCCCCCCTGGAGTTCGATGACCGCATGAAGGCGATATGCAGGGTTGGCAGCATGTCCTTTACCCCCGCCCCTCAACGACGCCCACCAAAATCACCGAAGACAAGCCTACGTCAACCACCTCCCCCCCCTGGCAGCATGTCCTTTACCCCCGCCCTTCCACAACGCCCACCAAAATCACCGAAGCAGAGACGCGCACCATCTCCCCCGTCTTCATCACCGTGCCTACGTCAACCACCTCCCCTCCCTTCAAGAAAGCATCTGCAGTCTCCGAAGCCTGATAAGGATGTGTGTGTACAAAACGCAACAAACTATTTCTGATATGTGCTGGGTCCAGGCTCAAGGGCATATGGCACTCTCAACTCTTTCCAGCACATGCCGGGGCCCTGCCTGCCAGTAGCTTTGCCGATATCTGTGTTGATAGGTAATAGATTAAGAGCGGTAAATCAGCTTAGAAACAGGAAGTGCTCAAACGTTTGTGTGAGGTTATCAAATTTAGCAGTGATTCCATGTCAGCCACAGCTTGTCACAAATGTTTTTACTGATAGTGTATTTAACAAACTTAAACTAGCTTTATTAAATGTCAGGTCTTTGGCAGGAAAAACATTTTTAATCAATGATTTTATCACTGAGCACAATCTCGATTTTATGTTTTTAACGGAAACTTGGATTGAACAAAATAACAGTGCAGCTGTTCTTATCGAATCAACCCCTCCCAACTTTAGTTTTATGAGTCAGGAAAGAATGCATAAGAAAGGGGGTGGAGTTGCAATTTTGTTCAATGATTCCATTCAATGCAGGAAGACATCTTATGGGGACTTTGCTTCTTTTGAATATGTGGCCCTTCAGCTGAAATGCTCCTCTCGAGCTCTGTTCCTAAATATCTATAGACCACCCAAATACTGTGCAAGCTTTTTTGATGATTTTACTGAACTGCTGTCTATAGTGTGTATTGACTTTGACCGTCTAGTCATTGTTGGTGATTTTAACATCCATGTTGACAACCCCCAGGACAGAGGGGCTAAAGAACTGTTTTGTGTTCTTGATAACTATGGACTGACTTAGCATGTGGCGGAGCCCACGCACAATAAGGGGCACACTCTGGACTTAATTATCTCAAAGGGTCTGAATATCTCAAAGGTTGTGGTGACTGATGTTGCACTCTCTGATCATTCCTGTGTTTTCTTTGAGAGCTCTATTTCTGTTCACAAAAATGTTCAGAAAGAGGTAACCACAAAGCGATATTTAACTGAAAATACTAGGGAAATGTTTACTCATAATTTTTCATCCACACTCTCCCCTGCTAACATCTCAGTAAATGAGCTAGTAGATCATTTTAATTCAAATATTAAAAATGTTATAGATACCATTGCTCCAACTACGGTAAAGGAAGTGATTGGCAAGAAAATATCTCCATGGAGAAAGGCCATGACCGTGAGAACAGAAAAAAGAGAGTGTCGAAAAGCTGAACGTAGGTGGCGAAAAACAAATCTCCAGGTTCACTTTGAAATCTATAAAGAGAGACTTGGCCTTTATAATTTGGAATTGAAAAACGCACGACAGTCTTTCTTCTCTGACATCATTACCAAAAACAAAAACAACGCACGTGCCTTGTTTGCTACCGTCGACAGACTAACTAACCCCCCAGTGTCAGTAGCCTCTGAATTTCTATCCACCAGGGCGTGCAATGATTTTGCCTCCTTCTTCACTGACAAAATTCAGAAAATTAGACAAGCAGTCAGTGCCTCTGCATCAGGTACAGCAAATGTGTTGTCCCTATGTCCACCTAATATCAATTCAAACACCATGACACAATTCCATCAGATTAATGGTAAAAACTTAGAGGACATTATTCAACTTCTGAAATCCTCCTCCTGCTGCCTTGATATTATTCCAACAGGATTTTTTCAAAGATGTTTTTCCTTGCATGGCCTCAGATCTACTTCATATAGTAAACACATCTCTTCACTCAGGTATTTTTCCAGAGGCCCTGAAAACTGCAGTCATTAAACCGCTCTTAAAAAAGAATAATCTAGATGCTTCAGTAATGAACAATTACAGGCCAATATCAAACCTGCCATTTCTAGGTAAAATCATTGAAAAAGTTGTATTTCAACAGTTGAGTAACTTCTTGCATTTAAATAACTGTTTGGATGTGTTCCAGTCAGGATTTCGTCCAAACCACAACACTGAGACTGCTCTTGTAAAGGTCTTCAATGACATCCACTTAAACACAGACAGTGGCAGAACTTCAGTGTTAGTATTATTAGATCTCAGTGCTGCGTTTGACACTGTTGACCACAACATATTACTAGACCGACTAGAAAACTGGGTGGGACTTTCGGAAACAGTTCTAAATTGGTTTGAGTCCTACTTAAAGGACAGAAAAAACTTTGTTTCTATAGGCAAATACACATCTGAGTTGACAAATATGACATGTGGGGTACCTCAAGGCTCCATCTTGGGGCCTCTTCTCTTTAACATCTACATGCTACCACTGGCTCAGATAATGAAAAACAACAAAATAAGTTACCATAGCTATGCGGATGACACACACATTTACGTAACAATTTCACCAGGAGATTATGCCCCAATTCAAACACTGAGTAAGTGCATTGAACAAATCAATGACTGGATGTGTCAGAACTTTCTCCAATTAAACAAAGATAAAACTGAGGTAATGGTTTTTGGAGCCAAGGCAGAACGTATAAAAGTTAGCGCTGAGCTTCAGTCTGCAATGTTCAAAACAACAGATAAAGCCAGAAATCTAGGTGTAGTCATGGACTCTGACCTGAGTTTCAACAGTCACATTAAAACAGTTACTAAATCAGCCTACTATCACCTAAAGAACATATCTAGGATTAAAAGACTAATGTCACAGCAGGATTTGGAAAAACTTGTCCATGCTTTTATCTTCAGTAGACTCGACTACTGCAATGGTGTCCTTACAGGCCTCACTAAAAAATCTATTAGAAAGCTGCAGCTAATTCAGAACGCCGCTGCTCGAGTCCTCACTAACACTAAGAAAGTGGATCACATCACTCCTGTTCTGAAGTCCTTACACTGGCTTCCTGTGTGTCAAAGAATAGATTTCAAAATACTGCTGCTGGTTTATAAAGCTTTGAATGGTTTAGGCCCAAAATACATGTCTGACCTACTGCTAAATTATGAACCATCCAGAACTCTCAGGTCTTCAGGGACTGGTCAGCTTTCTGTCCCCAGAGTCAGAACTAAACATGGAGAAGCAGCGTTCAGTTATTATGCTCCAAATATCTGGAACAAACTCCCAGAAACCTGCAGGTCCGCTGCAACTCTTACTACTTTTAAATCCAGGCTGAAGACTTTTCTTTTTGCCGCTGCTTTTAATTGAACTATTCACATCTTAAACTGCACTGTAACTTTTAACTTTTATCCATGTATTTTTTCTTTTAATGTTTATTTTATTATCTTTTCTTTTTAATGACTGATTTTAAATGCCATTTTCATAATGTCTTCCATTTTTGTAAAGCACTTTGAATTGCCTTGTGTTGAAAGGTGCTATATAAATAAACTTGCCTTGCCTTGCCTTGCTTCTCAGTCAGTTCATGAAGGCAGAAAATCTACAAAACTTACATTTTTTTAATTTGAAAACTGATCACCAAAACATGATCATGCTCTTTCTGTTGCACTGAACCATGTACTCTTTAAAGTGGACCTATCATGCTATATTTTAATAATATAGTGTAGGACCATATCTATATAAGGCATATTTATACTTTTTCTTTTTCAAAATACCAAACAGATAATGCATTTTAGCCATGCCTCATTTTGCTCAATTTGCACTTTTTTATCCCTGTTTTTGCAAGGGCTGATTCTGTGAGAACAGCACCATCTACAGGCCTGGCATATGTACTACAGCGTCTCCAGCGCTTTCGAACGGCAATGGCCGTGGCTGTCTCCTCCTGATTGGTGGAGTTGGCCCAATAGCCGTAGCGCCACTGTCCTGACGTCAGGACAGTGTTCAAATCTGGATCAGTTTTTATCAGATCCGTTGCAGCCCCTTTTTTAGAGATTTGGGTATGGAGGAAAATAGAGAGGGTTGTGTTTTCTGACACTTGGTGAGTTCCCTGGAACACCGGGGACACATATTCATGTATAAAAGACGTACCAAAGTGCATTTTGCATGATAGGTCCCCTTTAAGGAACATGTCCATAATACAAATACAGTTTAACCAAGAGGGATATTTAGTTTTCTCTGGTTAAACACCTGTTCTGAGGAGGGTGGGTTTACCTGAGGAAGGGGTCCAGATGTGTTGTTTCATGGCTGCTGTGGATCTGCTGCCGCATCACAGTCAGCGGCCTCAGCTGGTGACAACTGAACAGAAACCACAATATACAGTTATCTGAAGCATGTGTGTGTTTCCCTCCGAATAATGGTCGAAGACTTGACCGATGATTTAGAATGTATTGAAACTCCAGAATCAACGTAAGAGCTATAAAGAGACAAAAATAACAAATACATTTAGACTCCATCCATATTAGAATCACTTAGCATACTACCAAAAGTGAACTGCAAACAGCATATAAATCAATTAGGACACAACCCACATTTTTATATTATAGTTAATACCAACCTTGTGCCTCTTCGGGGGGTGCTAACACTTAAACATAAACGTTATCCTTTGCTTTCGCCGCCGTTATATGTAAATATTCATTTTCTCCGTCACGTTGTTTGCATAGCAACAACAACTTCTTGTCAACAGCACAAACTCGCCTTTAAAATAAAAGCATGTCCATACAAAATAGGAAGCCAAGCTAAATTACACTTAAGACATATACAACTGCAACAAAAGTAACAAAAAAAATGCAATATCCTTTTCAGTTTCAAAGAACACAAATTGGGTTATTTACAGTGTGTGTGTGTGTGTGTGTGTGTGTGTGTGTGTGTGTGTGTGTGTGTGTGTGTGTGTGTGTGTGTGTGTGTGTGTGTGTGTGTGTGTGTGTCCTCTTCCTTACCTGCAGGTGACGTCAGGAGAGGCGTCTGTTTGCTGAGTCCTGCAGCCGCGGGGTGACCACGCCCCCTGCTGGCCGTCCCAGGACAAACACAGGCTGCTGTCCACCGATAGGCTGTAGCTCACCTGCTCACTCAAGGGGGGGGAACCAGGCCTTTTCCCAAAATCAGCGTCCAGCAGGGCTACGTGACCAACACCTGCAGCTAGAGAGGTTTCTTTTTCAATAACTGCAGCAGGAAATACTTGAAAGATTTTAGTAAATATGAGATTCTTGGATGGATAGTGTCGGAGTGAATGATGAACTGAAATAGAAGAAATATATATTTTTCTTATCTTATAATTAGTTTTTAGTACTAAGCGCTGAATAATAATGTGATTTCTCTCCAATATGATCTATGTTGTCAATTTTAGATTTGTTAGAGTAATACAATAATATGGAAAACTACTTAAATGAAATGCATTGACTACATTTGAAATATTAAGTCAATGCATTTCATTTTCAGACATTTTCAGGCTTGTTTAAAGTTAGACATTCTGTATAAAAACTGTGGCAATGTTGAGATTCAACGGATGATTTTTCTTTTTTTACTTAAAGGAATAAGTAGTTATTAGGAGGGAGGAGAAGGAGGCGTAAATCTGATGAAATGTCTCACCACTGAGGTAAGATGAGGGCAGAGTGAAGCGCGTGACGTTGCTCTTCCAGGAGTGAATCCCCTGCAGATGGTGCATGCTGGGAGTCGGCCTCTCAAACATCCTGCCACAACACAGACTCTTGCCATTTAATAAAATAATAACGCTTTATTTGTGTAGCACTTTTCACACACCAGATGCAGCTCAAAGTGCTTTAACAACATATTAATTCACTGTTTCATTCTGCACACATGCAGCAGGACAACATGATAACACAGTTCAAGGAGGCAGAGGTAAAAGGTGTGAAAATAAAAATATAATAAATAATGATCCCTCTCGGTAAAATAAAGGAAGACAAAATGTATAAATACAATAAAATATAAAAAAATAAACAATTCAAAAAGGGGATGTTGCTAATAAAACCTAAAATAAATAAAAACCTATAAAACCAATAAAATAAATAAAACAATTAAAAAAAATGTTTTAAAAGATTAAAAGACTAATTCAAAAAGGCGGGTGATGCTAAAAATATTACGTTTTATTTTTATATTGCTCTGACCATCAGATGATAATGATTATAAAACAACAACCCAAGCCTACCTGAAGAGAAGCATGATGGGAAACGGCTTGCTGGGCGGCGTGAACACCACACTCAGCTGGATGGCCTGCTGCAAGTGCTTCTGGGTAAGGTTGAAGCTGTGGTGGTTGACCCGGCTGCGCAGGAGGACGTACTCGCGCTCACAGCTCTCCTGCAGGACAGAAGTTATCACAGGGTGAATCAGTGTAAATGGTGCATATATAATCACAATAAGAGAAATTAAATTGTGTAAAAGTGACAAACCGTAAAGCTATTTTAAACACTATGATAAAATAAAGAAATATACAAAATAAAATAGATGAAAATGTACTCTTAGAATCAAGAAATATGCAGTATGTCAGAAAGTGAAGTGGCACAGCTGTTATAAAACAGGTCACAATTGAACAGAGATGTTCAAAAGATCTTGTGCTTAAGTAAAAGTATAAGTACTCAGATCTTGTACTTCTGTAAAAGTAGAAGTACCCAGATCTTGTACTTGAGTAAAAGTAGAAGTACTCAGATCTTGTACTTGAGTAAAAGTAGAAGTACCAGAGTGTAGGAATACTACAAGTAAAAGTCCTGCAATCAAAATGTTACTCAAGTAAAAGTCGAAAAGTATTAGCATCAAAATATAGTGAAAGTAGCGACAGTAAAAGTAGTCATTGTGCAGATTGGTCCATTTCAGAATAATATATATGATATGTTTTATAATGATTGATCATTAAAGTGTTCTCAAAGCTGGTAAAGGTGCAGCTAGTTTGAATGACTTTGTATACTGCAGGGTAGCTTGTGAATTTACTCCAGGTGGAACTAAAGTCTGATTTAACACTTGGTTATATTTCACATCATTCATCCAGATCTGTAGAGTTACTAAAGGTATTAAATACATGTAGTGGAGTAAAAGTACACCATTTACCTCTGAACTGTGGTGGAGTAGAAGTACAAAGTAGCTAAATATTGAAAGTAAAGTATCCACAGGCAGAGGATATCAATAATCACGTGAAAGAAGAAATAAGGACATACGTTGTTTGATGGTTGTTTCAGCTGGATGATGATTGGCTCGATGAGGGAGCGCACTGGGATCTTCCTCCTCGAGCTGCACTGGTTCAGACTCAGCTCCACCACAGGTCCACTCAGCTGGAAATCAGCAGAGGAACATGAGACTGATGCCTTGCTGTTAAAGGTCCCCTATTATACTGTTTTTCATCAATATATTATAGGTCTCAGATATATACAAAACATGTCTCTGAAGTGTTTGGCTCCAAATACCAAACAGATCATTGCAGCATCCCATAATCCCCTCTGTTTCAGCCCTGTTTCCAAAGTGCTGATTCTCTGTCTGTTACTTTAGATGAAAATAAGGAGCCCCTCCCCACGCCCCTCTGAGAGAGATTTGGTTAAAAAGAACACAATGGTGCTCTAGGAGGAGATTCAGGTGATAAGATGGGGGGGGGGTTACCTTGGTTGGTGATTGGCTAATGGTTACACAAGCCAAAAAAACATTATGACATCATAAAGTGGCCAAAATCTGATCAGCTCATTTTCAGACAGATTTTTATATAAATGGATCAGGACAAAAAGAGAGAGAATCTTTGTTCCTGAAACTTTCAGAGTCTCTTTACACAGAGGGGACACATATTGATGTAGAAGAGACATGCAAAAGTGGATTTTGCATAATAGGTGCCTTTAAATCATTAAAAGTGTCATGATAGCTTGCATGTCTCACCCTCCTGTGATAGGGGTCCCAGGTGAAAGGGCTGTGGTGGAGCTCTGTTAAAGTGCTGAGGACACACCGGGGTCTGCTGCCGTGAACAAGCTGGATCAGGGAGGGGGGCAGCGAGAAGGAGGACGACCCACTGCTGATCACAGTGGAGCTTTGGTTCTGGTAGGATGAGTATAAGGCTATGAGACCGGTGCTGACTCTGTGCTCCTGGACTTTGTGCATCAAGATGAACTTCTGAATGGAGAGAATGGACAGTAGTGAGATACATGTGAGGTAATGTGTTCCCTGTCCACAACCCCACCCTCAAAGACTGCAACCACCATTTTTATTTGTATTTGTTTCGTTCATGGTATGCACAACTTAATGCATAACAATTATTTACAAAACATGTCTCTATAAACACACCGTACCCGAAAAGGAGCAGGGAGAAGGAAATAATCTTATATTACCTGCCCCTTTCTCAAAGAAAATATATATATAAATAGATGGTCTGTCCTTCATATTTTCTTATTCACAGCCACTCACAACAGTACCGTAAGAAAATAAGAGACACACAAAAACTTATAAAAGAATACTTAGTTCCCACTTGACAGTTAAGGTATAAATATTAAGGGAGTTATTTAAGCATTTATGGTTATTCTTAGCATCTAGTTATGAACAAACCATTATATTTAAAGGTTGCAGTTTTGTATATTAACATTGTATAGCCTGTAAATATGTTCATTGCCATTTCATCTTATTGCCTTCTCATTGAAGTGCATTGCTGCTACCTCTGCTTTAATTTATTGGTATCTACTTCTATCTCTGCAGTGAGACATGCCAACTATATTTCCTTAAACTTATGTATGATGTCAATAAAGAAATTCTGATTCTGAAAACATGTCAATAAGACGAATCAATCAAGATGGTGACCACAAAGACAATACACTCAAGGCTTTAAGACTTTAAGACTGTCGCCCACAAACAAAAACGGGATGTCAGTGACTCGATCCACTTCTGATACCAAAAGAGCTTTATTTGATAGCTTTTCCCCCCTACTAAATAATCATTATGTAAAATGCATTCAGTTGCCTAAAATCTCATCACCATCTCACTCCTCACTATCCAATTAATACTTTCATAAATACACATCTTATTTTAATAGGAAATACTAACTGCCTATTCCATGAAATACAAAGTGAGTGACACTCGGCCAATCATACGACACATTCAATCAAAGAACTCTTGCAGTGATTGGCTTTCCTTTTGTTAGTTTTATATTTATATTTTTCTTGGCGTCTCCTGGAAGATCGTTATCATCCTCCAGGACCCATCCCTTTTTCTTTTATATATTCACATTACAATTTTTACACCTGTATATGTATAGCATGTCTGATCCTTCTCTGTTGCTGTCCCGAGGTTTCTAACATGTGTCCCCGTTAATTGTGGGGTTAGTTTGGGAGTGTTTCCTGCAAGGGTCTAAGGACAGAGGATGTCTTATGCTGTCCACACTGTAAAAAACCCTGAGACAAAGGTGTCATTTGTGATACTGGGCTGTATAAATAGAATTTGATTGATTTTCTCTCACCAGCATCAGGTCTGAAGCAGTCTGCAGAATATCAGCTACCAGATGCTCCACCTGCTTTGTTGAAATGGATCCTCCTCCACCTCTGGATGCTTCATCACGTGGGTCTGGATCTAACGTCTGTGTAATGTCAGCACTAGTGGAGGTTTGCAGGCTGAATGAGAGCAGAGACAGCAGGCTGTGGAGGGGTTTCTGCTCCAGACGGTACGAGGCTGGACCACCGGACTCTGAAAACCGCTGCGAGACGTCCTGAACGTGAGCCGTCACTCGTCTAGCACTCGCTAATGTCACCTGAACAGGAATAAGTGATGTATGAGAAACAATTTGTAACTTCCATCATCCATCAGTGTGTATTTGTCAATGTAAAGAGACGACCTTCCACCTACCTGACGCGTGACTTCTAAAAGGTTTTTGAGAATGCAGATGTTGTCCTCCATTGATGCCTGAGATTCAGAGGATTACAGGTGAATAAAGTCAAACAATTAAACACCTCCCCTGTAGATTTCACACAATCAGACAATAGGAAATATTATTTTTAAATATGCAAATGATGCATTATCTCATGCAAGCTTTTGGCGAATTAACAAGAAATTTACATTTAATTTATAAGTACTTTAAGATGCTTTAGAAAAAAAAATGTTATACCATTTTATATAACAATACAAATGAACATGTACACACAAATGAAAACTCAAGATGCAATGAAATAAATAACCTTTGTTGTGTTTTGCCTTTAACTTTAAAGAAAGGCCTGTGACTGTTTACCTGTCCATTGCTCTCCAGCTCACACACTGTGTGGATGAGTGTGTTGCGTGTGTGTCTCTGCGTGTGTGTGTTGGCCTCGGTGTGCAGAGTGAGTCGGTTCAGGATGCCCGACAGGAGGCTGACGTAGTTACGAACCTCCAAACTGTTCCCAAGATGCACCAGAGCCGACAGGTTCCTCAGACCCGACCCTGAACTGGAGACAAAGAGATATTTATAAAACAACAGCAACACAAACTGTAGGAATAGTTAGACTGCAACGTGTTCAAATGTTCTGCAAAACTCCAGAGATAAAACAAGAGAGTGATGTCAAGAGAGATTGAATCATTGGCCAAAATTCAAGGCATGTTTTCTAAATGTAATATTCTGCTCCATTACTTTTTTATAGGAGTTAAGCTTCTCAAAAACAACAACTCTCCTGCTTGGTAGTGCTGGTTCATGATAAAACAATAAAAAGATAGGTTCTGTCCATATGTAGTGCAACATAGTCATAACCATAATGCTGATGTGATGACATGGTGATTCTTACAGCTCCAGGTCAGGGTCAGGGTGAGAGGAAGAAGAGGAAGAAGAGGAGGAAGAGGAGGATGAAGAGGAGGATGAAGAGGAGGAAGAGGAGGTGTCTCTGAAGAAGCTGGGTTGGACTTCCACGGTGACAGGACAGGGTTTAGTGGCCGTCCCATATGAGCTGCTTCTGATCTCTGTGAAAATAGTTACTGCAAGCAAAAATACAAAACAATTAAGAAGTTGTACTATCAGAACATCCGAGAGGTTACACACATTCTGTTGCAGACTGAAAACTCACTTGTTAAGACTGCATCTTTGCTAAACAATTATTGAAAACATCTTCTGTACGTAGCGCTTACAAAGGATTTGGCTTTAAGTGAAGCTGTTGCAGTAACATTGAATCTGGTTGGGCTTATAGACAGGAAACGTACCTGCAGGATTAATGCTCTGAGTTTATTTCCGCATGGTTTAAGTCGCTTTGGATATGTCACTAAATGAAATGTAATGTCATGTAATATACTATAAAAGATATCAATCAGTGTACATGTGTTCAATTTGTACCTTTGTATTGATCAGCGGGGTCACCAGAGGGCAGGCTGAAGTAGTACTGGAAGTCTCTGCCTGCATAGAGCGTCCTCCGAGGCCCATCTCCTACACTGACGCTGTAGTCATACAATAAATCCTACACACACACACACACACACACACACACACACACACACACACACACACACACACACACACACACACACACACACACACACACACACACACACACACACACACACACACACACACACACACACACACACAAGTAGGGAACAGCAAAGAAGTCAAAACAGGAGTGACTAAATAGACCTATGCTATAAAGAGAAAGCCTGATACCTTCTATATGGGGGGTTATACAGGTGTCTAATTTACTTTGCTGTAAAAAAAACTGTGAAAAAAGAGTGATACATTTGTAGTGAGGTGCGTGTTTCTGTGTAAAAATAATGAGAGAGGATATACCTGTTTCCCCGAGGTGCAGAAGATGCTGAAGTGTGTGTAGAGCTCCACTCCTCTGATTGGCTGAACCTGGCACACCACGCCTTTTGGAGCAGGGTTGGTTTTGAAGAAGAGCTGAGTCCGGCCAAGAAAACTACTACGAGATTCTGAGTACGAAAAATAACAATCACACATTAGCATCAATATCCATCTCTCCCATTTGCATCAAGAAATAAAAAGATGGGCTAATAACCGACTGATGATGTCAGTGTTGTTTAAAGAAATCACCCTGATCCACAATCCAGAAAACTGCATTCAGTTATTATGCATTACATTTACAGGATAATTCTGCAGTTATTTTACTCTGCGTGAAGTCACAATCACACCTTATTTCAAATTTGACAGCTTTTTAAGGACTAAATTACTCAGATTCAAGACCAAACATGGCATAGTTTGAGAGTTCATTTCTGTTAACAACACAGAGTAATGTTATAATGAGAACTAGCTAACTTTACAGAAGCTCAAAAAATAGCCAAAACAACATACATGTATAGTATTGCATATATACATTTAAGCACTTTTAATGACCCATTCATATTCACGAAAATGTAAAGGCCTTAATTTCTAACCGTCAAATTCAAGAAATAAAATGGTAAAAATCACTCAAATCAAGAAATAAGCATAATAACATTAAGCCTCATCCATGACTTCCTAGGTATTAAGATGTATGAACTGCTCATGTGTTAAGAAACAGATCGCAGTCCAAAAACAGGGATAATAATAACACACTTTTTGGAAAGAAAAGTCAGTTTTATTGTGAAACCTACTGGCAGTGACCTCCAACATGTATCTGCTCCCAGGGGTCAGGCTGAAGGGTCTCAAGCTGAGCAAAGGGGCGGAAACTCCTGAAATAAAATGGAGAAAGATGACTTAAGCCTGAGACAGGTGGGTAAAGAAGGGGAAATATGTCGGAGTGTTTCCTGAAGAATGTACCTGTGTAGGTGTAGGACTCAAAAAGGCCTCGGTCTATGGGATGTCGAGGGAAATCGAGCAGGATTGGTTCCTGTTTCACTACAGAGGGACCGGAGTCTACCAGATTACTCCCTTCCTCTTCACGTGACGCGAGATCAAACTCTGAATCATCTCCTGGACCAAAGCTCTCACCGTCCACACCTGGGAATTTACATGGGATTAACACAAAACCTCCAACACGCACGCACACACACACACACACACACACACACACACACACACACACACACACACACACACACACACACACACACACACACACACACACACACACACACACACACACACACACACACACACACACACACACACACACACACACACACACACACACACACACACACACACACACACAGCACCACATCTTCAGATTACAGTTTTTCTTGATTGCTAAAACACTAAAATTATACATAAAGCACAATTATTTTTAACTGACACTCAAAGAGCAAAACTTCAGCTCAAATCTCCAAAACTCTAAACACATTTTCAGCTTTTCACACAATTTGCAAATCAACATGGCACTTTTTGCAAACCACTGCACACGTTCCTCCACGTAAGACACAGGAATCTGACATAAAGCCACGTGTTAGCTGGTTTAAAACACTGATATTCAAAATGCCTCACACATGGACCAATTATCAAGAAACACGTTCCACCTGACCAAACACCTGAATGCATCATTGTTGGCTCATCAATCAGGATGTTAGCACTATAAAAAGACCACAGGTAGTACTTTCTTACAGCAACAATGGAAGCCAACATGGGAGCAAGAGGAAGAAGAAGAGCTGGGCTGAGAGTGAGAGGAGGAGGAAGAGGTGGGGTGAGAGTGAGAGGAGGAAGAATGAGAGGTAGAGCTGGAGGGAGAGGACGTGGACAAAGAAGAATACTCTCTAATGAAATGAAATGTTATCAACCATGGTGTGACGATGAGAGAGGCTGGACAGAGGGTTCAGCCTAATCTAAGCCGATGTACTGTTGCCTCTGTAATCCGGACACTTGAAAACAGGTTAGTTACCAGTAGCTCTGCGTAATTCATGATATATCAGTGCTTATATCTGTTGTGTGAAACGTATTTACTTCATTAATGTAATTGAATTGTTGGCATGTTGCATATATAACTGTACACAAATCCTGCACAATGTACTGTGGTAAACTTACTGTTATGCAACACAGACACTGACCAACCACTATATCTTTGTTGTTTATCTGGGAATTGACATGGGATTAACACAAAACCTCCAACACACACACACACACACACACACACACACACACACACACACACACACACACACACACACACACACACACACACACACACACACACACACACACACACACACACACACACACACACACACACACACACACACACACACACACACACACACACACACACACACACACACACACACACACACACACACACACACACACCACACACACACACACACACACACACACACACACACACACGCACACACACGCACGCACTGCACCTGAGGGTCTTCCTGCTGAAATCCCCGGGTCTCCTTCCTCTGCCTCCATCACAGGAACATCGTAATCTGGATCTGTTGTAGGATTAGATTTAATGCATAATAAAGTTAAACACTGAACGTATGCACAGACATCGCAGATATTGCACATGATTCTCAGCATAGCTAAATTGCAATTTACAAATGATGTATCACTTGTATATAGACTCTTATGGCACTAATTCTATTCTATTTTATTGTATTTACTTGCACTGTTTTATCTGTTTATTGTGTTGCACTGTTGGAGGAGTCTGGGACCTAAGATTTTCATCGACATAACTACACTGTAACTTTACAAATGACAATAAAAGCCTTGAATTTAGCTTCACCCAAACAGAGGTCTGATCAGCAATTATTACTGAAACCCCTTTTTAATTGTATCATTCAAAGAACAACTCCTTTGATTTTGTGGGACTGGCAGATCAGAGAGGTTTCTCAGAGTGGTTTCTCACCTGGTCGATCTCCCACATCCTCACTCTCCAGGAGAGGAAAAGGAAACTCCCAGTCAGCAGAAGAGTCCGGATCCACTGGGAGTTCAGTGATAACGCCGCTCTGGGTAAAGTGGTCTGAATAAAGGACGCCACTGTTGTCAAGAGGCGGGTATTCAGTGGAGGAGTACAAAGGCTTTGGAGGGTCAAACTCCCCCAGAGGGTGATAAAAAGGCTCCTCTCCTGGACACAAAGAGGAGAAAGCTGTTAAATAATTCATCCTTTTTACTTTAACCTTGTGCATTACTTCTAATTGATTTCCCCTATTGATGCCAGCGTCTTAAATGCTTTTACGTTGTTGTTTTCTGCGCTGAGAGCATGGCTAACCTGACCCTGATGTTCTCATGTTGAGAGAGGAGATGGGCGAGGGCTCTGTGAAAGCAAACAGGAACGTTTAGTGACATGCTGTTCTTCTCATGATCATGTAATTACACACCGGACATACCTGGCTTCTTTCTGTTGTTGTCAGATAACTCTTCTCCGCTAGTTGTCCCATTTAGATTCAGCTTGTTGTCTATAAATATAGAGGCATTCTCCCTCAGAGAGGCAGTGGTGGAGGTATTGACAGTGTGTGTGGGCTGGGTTGAGGTCCTCAGGGAAGAAGGACCCTCCATGATGTTTGACGGAGCACTGAGATCCACCGTGAAGCAAAATGGGACTAAAATAGAAAAGAGGGTTTATTTTACTTGCAAATTATGTTTCTGCAGCTCACATGTCCCAATGCTTCATATCTTACCTTCTATGGCCGGTTTGGATGATGCATTGACTAAGAACAGGCTCCAGGTGTACTGGATGTTTTTTGTGGAAGTATCACAGCCTTCACACACAACGCTGACGGAGAAAGGCTGATCCCAGTTCAGCTTCTCTTCATGGCACTGAGGGCAGGAAACTGGCACTGTCCTGGGTGGAAACAATCAGAAACAGACAGAAACAATACAAGATATTTATAAAATCTGAATCAGAATACCTTTATTAGTCCCACAGAGGGGACATTTACATTGTTACAAAGAGCCAAAGACAGCTTAATGTTACGTAAGAAGCATGCATGCAAAAATAATAATACAAATTACACAATTTACTAAATACACACCCTGTAACAGTTCTGAGGATTTAGCAGCCAGTTATTGCACAGTTATTAACAGCATATATATACATATTGCACATATTGCACATAGTTGGTATTTTACAACAAGGGGTGTTTTAGTCTGTGTTGAAAAATGTTCTATACACTTTTTTAAGACTCTTACCCGATGACGTTTGGTGTGAACGTGAGGAAGACCTCTGAGGAAGCCGAGCGCTCGCCGCTGTGGACGGTGAGCGTGAACTGGAACTGGTCAAAGTTGTGTTTTAGGAAACCAGCAGGAAATACGAGCACTGAGGAGGAAGTGGGAACATCGTCATGGAAACAGGAGCTGGGGAGGGAGCTGACTGGTTTACATGTCCAACTGAAGCTGTGGAGAGAAAACGAGACACTGTGTTTATAAAGTATGAAGACTTTTGGTGTTTTATCATCCTGTTTTATGTCTTTCAGGGACACATCAAAGCTTTAAGGTCCCCTATTATACTGTTTTTCATCAATATATCACAGGTCTCAGATATATACAGAGCCTGTCTCTGATTGGCTGAAACACCAAACAGATCATTGCAGCATCCCATAATCCCCTCTGTTTCAGCCCTGTTTCAAAAGTGCTGATTCTCTGTCTGTTACTTTAGATGAAAATAAGGAGCCCCTTCCCACGCCCCTCTGAGAGATATTTGGTTACAAAGAACTCAATGGTGCTCTAGGTGGAGATTCAGGTGATAAGGGGGGGGGCTAGTTACACAAGCCAAAAAATCGTTATGACATCATAAAGTGGCCAAAATCTGATCAGCTCATTTTCAGACAGGTTTTTATAGAAATGGATCAGGACAAAAAGAGAGAGAATCTTTGTTCCTGAAACTTTCAGAGTCTCTTTACACAGAGGGGACACATGTTGATGTTTAAAAGATGTGAACAAGTGGATTTTGCATAATAGGTGACCTTTAAAGTTGACCTCTCTGTTTCTGTACCTGACGGGGTTCATGGGGAAGTCTGGGTCGTGAGACTTCGTGCCGTCCAGCGTCACCACGGTGTTGTTCCTGTTGTTGATGAAGATGTTGGTGCCACCCTGGATGAAGGCCACAGGAGGGCTCGGTATCACCTGCACCTTCACGCTGTAGTTACTGTACACCACACTGCCAACCACCTGAACCTGCAGGGCAATGACAGCATCTCAATTCTGTAAATGCAGGCAAATCCGTCTGCTAAAAAGTACATTTCCATACAGAAATTCTGCATTCTCAAATATGTTTTGCTGAATTATCATTTTATTCTGGATCACAGTCGTAGTTTTAAACACATAATTGTGCATTAAAGTAAAACTACTTGTGTTTTAAGTCTGTCTAACTTAAGTACTTTATGGAGGTTAATTTATATAAACAGTCATGGGTGAATGTGTGATATTTGATCGACCCATCCATCCAAATGTCCTCCCTGTGAAGACTTTGGATAAAAATGTATCTGGAAGAAAACATTACCCTCAAAATGTAATTTAAATTGCGATTTTTGTTATATGGGAACATACATTTTTGGAGACCTTTGAAGAGAGGGACATCAGGGGTCACAGGTCTCAGTTTAAATGTCCGTGTGTGACAGTTTTCCCCGTTACTTACCCTGGCTATAGCAGTGTAAGTGTCGTAGTTCAGCACGAGGCTGGGCAGTTTGAGTTTCTGTCTGTGTGTGTCTACGAGAGGCAGAGAGAAAACCCGTCCTGCAGAGTCCAACAAGCTCCAGGTGTAGTGAAGGCCTTTTGAAATGTCACAGTCTACCTCCGTCTCATAGGTCACTCCCAGACGGATGACCTCATGTCTCCGCACCTTCAAGAGAGAGGATATCCTCAATTATCTGTTCATCTTTACTGTTAGAAAAATATCACCGGTCACCGGCTTGATCACATACAGAGCATTTGGTACAACTAGTTCCTGAACAGTGTCCTTCACATGCTGATATACAAGAGAGGGAGTTACACAGTCACAAGATGGAGGAATATAAAGCAGTATTCAATGTTTAGTTCAGATTAGCTCCACGTCAGAAATGATCATGCTTGTCATATGTCTATCTCCATAGAGGCTGAATCATCATGTTAATCACATAGCTATCATATGCCTAAAACAGTCCTGATGCTCTTCTAGGTAATCATACATCCTGTCATGTTCACAGCTACAGTTGGGATACCTTTGTTATCACGTTACTCTTATATTGGAAGAGGACATTCAGTATTTTCCCAACATTTACCATAGTACACACAGGTAGTAGTTTCTGCTGGTGAGATGTACCTGTAGTTTTAGAGGTCCCATGTTTTTCACTGGAGGAGGCTGACAGGGCCGGTCCACAACAAAGATGTGAGCGCTGAGAGAGGCAGAGCTGACCAGATTAAACACTGTCACCTCCACCCTGAACTCTCCTGTCCTGAGAGAGAGCGAGAGAGAGAGAGAGAGAGAGAGAGAGAGAGAGAGAGAGAGAGAGAGAGAGAGAGAGAGAGAGAGAGAGAGAGAGAGAGAGGACAAACACACACTGTCAATGTCCACAGGCAATAATACACACAAAATTAAAAAAACACAGATAGAAAACTATTTTAAGAAAACTATAATAACATTAAAAATAATAAAAGATATAGTCAAATATAGCAGTATTTACAATGCAATATAATGGAATAATATATGTGCAGTAAACATAAAAAAACACAGATATTGTGTGCATTATGTAGAACAATGAAGCTAAATACATTAAAATAACATGAGATGATCTGACCTGTGGAAGACGTGCTGCCCAAATTAGTATATTGTTTACAAGCTGTTATCTAAGAGTAATTTAAGAAATCATCCCAATAAATGTGTACACCTATTTGAAAGAAGGGAGTTTGAAAGAAGGGACTTTCAACCGTCATAAACACAGAAACGGTTCAGTTCAGACTAAGAATATCAGTCTCCAGAATATAAAGGTGGTCACATTGTGAGATACCTTATATGTATGTTAACAATAAAACTCATTAATATTGAATAACATGAGATGATCCGACCTGTGCAAGATGTGCTGCCCTGTTTTTCAATCTTACCCTGTCCATCTTCATTTATCTTATTTTATCTTATCTTAATCTGACCTGTGGAAGACGTGCTGCTCGGTGCTGAGTCCCGGCCGGGAGGAGCCGTCTCCAAAGCTCCAGAGGAAGGAGACGTCTGTCCCCGCAGTGACCCGGCAGCTGAGCCTCAGCGCCTGGTTCTGCAGGACGGAGGCCGGGTGGAGCAGCCGGTTGAGCCGCACCGCGCTCTGCACCTCCAGAGGGAAAACATCCGAGGAGACGGAGGAACGGCCACTCCACAGGACCACAAACACATCATACCTATGTTAAAACAGGACCACAAACACATCATACCTATGTTAAAACAGGACCACAAACACATCATACCTACGTTAAAACAGGACCACAAACACATCATACCTACGTTAAAACAGGACCACAAACACATCATACCTACGTTAAAACAGGACCACAAACACATAATACCTACGTTAAAACAGGACCACAAACACATCATACCTACGTTAAAACAGGACCACAAACACATCATACCTACGTTACAACAGGACCACAAACACATCATACCTACGTTAAAACAGGACCACAAACACATCATACCTGCAGTAAAACCGGACCACAAACACATCATACCTGCATTAAAACCGGACCACAAACACATTATACCTACGTTAAAACAGGACCACAAACACATCATACCTGCAGTAAAACCGGACCACAAACACATCATACCTGCATTAAAACAGGACCACAAACACATCACACCTGCATTCTGGTAAAGGTGCTATTCGGAGAAATATCTGTCTATGTATTTTATTGTCTATGTTAGTATATTTTAGTTGTCAGGCAGTCAACTCGAGCACTTATGCTGCATTCATACATATGCCACTCTACAACCAACCAAACAGAGTGTCCTTAATATGCCGCTCTATTTAACCTGCCAGATATCTCTCTATGCATTGCTTGCTGCTGCTATTGCTGCAACTACTTCCACGTCGCTGCTGCTTGCCTGACCCACCACCACCCCAGCTTCCACCTGTAGGCTCGGGGTTAGTTATTTAATCATCACTCATCGTGCTATGTATATCTGTGGAGTGATGAGGCCCGAGCCTCGACGCCAAACTCAACTATATGCTGCTTCTAATAAACATGTTAAAGAAACACGTGAGTTGTCTGACTGAAATAAACGTATAGAATTATTATTAAATGTATACACTGAAAATGAATGAAACAAACTAAATGTAAAATTACAAATATGAATATACACACTTGTCTTCATACCTTCAGTTTTATGTAAATCATCTTATTGAAATATTGTTTTAAAGCTATTTCCTTTCCTTTATTCTGGTTCACAGATGATCCTAGATGATTTGGTTTACATCTAGATTGTAATGCATCAAACTCAGCCCAGTTATAGAGACAAAAATAATTTATACTGTATTTTAAATGCTTGATGTGTACCTGCCAGGTGTGCGGTATCTCTTGGTGACGCTCCTGGAGGCGGTCCGCTCTGACGTCGAGTCTCCAAAGATCCAGAGCAGCTGTGCAGGATCCGCTGCTTCAGAAACAGCCAGGAGGGTCACGTCTGTGTGTGTGGGAAACACTCTCTGTGCTGCATGGATCTGCACTGTGAGCGGGGGTCACACACAATGCATGGTCATTATAGATATACAGGTAAGTACCACTTGAAAAAGGTAAAGAATTATGTTGTGCAAACGTAAAAATGTGACTCTAAATAGAGAAATGATGAAGAAGGTGGACCAGAAAACACTGCTTTCCTATCAAATATAGATTAAATTAAAAAAATGTCTTTCTTTCTTTATGTTTGGTCATTTTGAAGCCTATGTTTTATTTGACCGTGTTAAAAAATGCAAGAACTAAAATGCATATAACTCCCTAACGTTAACCTCACACACATTGCATGTTCATTGTAGATATACATTAAGGTACCATACCTTATAAACACTTGAAAAACGTAAAGAATGATGTTGTGAAAACATAAAAGATGTGTCTTTAAAAAGAGAAATTAATTAAATTATTAAATTAAATAACACTTTTCATTTTTGTATTTTTATGTTTGGTCATTTTGAAGCCACCGTTTTATTTGACAGTGTTAAAAAATGCAAGAACTAAACTACATAATAACTCCCTAAAGTGACCCTGCATAAAAACATTATTTGTATTATTATTTTCTTATGTATTCATTAATTTAGTTAATTATAAGATAACATTTTAATTATATTTATTTTTATATTTTTTGTGCTGGGATGTCTTCTGTTACCTTTGTGTCTCTTGCCTGTACTAAATTAGAACATGTAATAATGATAATAAGTTTATTTAGTTTAGCACCTTTCACAGAAATAGAAGTTAAAAATGATGTTAAAATGTCCTGATATTTTCTTCTCTGCGTGTTAATGTAATTGTTTCCCATAAATCTCACTAACAAACACATTCTGAATAAAATGGTGGTTAGGAAAACACAAAGATTATCTCAAAAGATAATAATTATTATTATAGAATGAGATATAGAGCAGTTATTCTGTATAGCACCCATTGTTCATGTTTATAATTATACAATTAAAAAGTGTCCATTATATCACACTGATAAAGTCTTGCTGGTCATGTTTTAACCACATAATACAAAATATAAAACTTAGTGTAATTTGTTGTCTAGATTGTAGAGAATGTGATTTGTTTGTAAAAACATTTAACTTTTTTAAGTTATAATTTCTTAAATGTATAAAACAAAACAATTAATACATAAACCCTGACAACACAAATCAGCAGGATCATTCGTGAGAACGTCTGAACTCTTTGTAATAATTATATTAATAATTACATATAATAAAATATAATGTGTCATGCGATTAAAATAATGATAAATACTATGATTAATGTATTTTTAGACAATTACAAACAAAGCCATAGAAAATGAATATTAAGGAAATTACGAACGATGTCAAAATAAACCTTTTTACTTAAAGTACATGAGAAAAAACGTTATTATTTTTTCATAGTCAGTCAGTTTTTACAATATAAATCCTGCTTGTGCAAATTAAAGAGTCATATTCCCAAGAACATGATGAGTAGCAGCAGCTGACCTGTGGGCTGGGTGGGGGGTCCGGCCAGGTTTCCAGAGACTTCCACAACAAAACTCTTCCCAACATGCACTCTGTCTGCAGGCGTAGAGAGACGGACGCGGTGCAGGAACGGCCCCTCAGTCCTGTAGAGAGCAACATGTCCGTCTCCTCCAACAGGGAGAGAGAGGACACTGGGAATAAAGAAAACATTCAGAGTAAAAATATGTAGCACTTACTTTGGACTTTTAAGTCCATATATTTGATTACAATAAGAAGTATTTTATTCCGCGTTACAGTGTTTATTTCACATTCTGATTTTATCTTTTTCTATTTTACTTGTAAAGGGTTTACTTGTTCTTGCTTTTTACATAAAGCATTCTTCTGCTCTGTTTTATTTCAATTTTTTCTTGAACTATAGGCTATATATTTATTTGTGTCTAAGGTATATTGTATTTTCACTGTTGGAGCAGCCTTAGATTTGCATTGCCAGCAACCATGCTGTAGCTGTTGAGCCATGACAAATAAGCCTTTGCATATATACAAAAAATGTTCTCCTCATGCCTAAAACTCTTATGAATGTTTATAACTTTGATGGCAGTAAAGACGTATTAACTCGTATGAAACAGACACTGCCTCACCTTCCTCTTCCTCCTCTGACTCCCTTTGTCCCTTCATCTGCAGAGGTGTTGAAACACTCGCCGAACAAAAGTCCATGGTGCTCGTTGCCACAGTAACAAGCCTCTGAGGTCAACGCTGCAACCTGGTACCTTCAGGAACAAAAACTGAGAGTCAGTGAAATACTTTCTAAATGCTGTGCATGCATCAAAGTCAGAAACACAACCAAGTGTGGTTTCAGAAGGAGGGGGTATACGCCTACTGGAAAATACGTTTTACATGAAATATGGTGCAACCCCTTTAAGTATCAATTCAAACAATGACAACAATACTTTTTCAAACATAGATTGTGTATTTTATGTTTTACAATAAAGATTGGTGCACATCCTTGCAGTAATAAGCTACATGTGGGTGCAAACACTACAAATAAAATGTACTTTCAACATTATGTCTGAGCTGTGCAAAACTCAGCTGAGATCTCTTTGGCTCAAGGCATACATTTACATTTTTGGTCATTTAAAAAAAAAAAAGTTTTAAGCCTCTTGAGGTCATTCTCAGCTTTTTTTCTCATAGAAATAAACATGCAGGAAAAAATATACTCCCATATTATAGGCTGCACTCACCAAGTGCTGCATTTAAAAATATATTTAAAATGTTCAGAGTAGGAAAATCACAGATGCTCCAATTATCCAACATATATTTTTGTTTAAATCAGGTTCATACATAATAAGAGAATACTCTTAAGCAGTGTCACCATTAAGATAGCACTGGTCCCAATGGGAGTAAAAAAAATTGTAAAAAATAATTGGGTGGATTTTTCTTGTCATTTTTCACAAGAATACACACACACCAATTAGCTGAAATGCGACCACAGTGGTCTGCACATGTCCCCCACTCACCCTTCATCCAGGCAGCACACAGAGCAGGTTACCAGGTCAAGGTCACGGCGTGCACCTCTGGGTGCAAACAGGCTGTTGCTGGGGGTGAAGCACCCCATGAACCAGGCTGAACTCCCGGGATTTGGTGCCTGAGCTGCGGCGGACCAGCGAGGGAAGTCCAGTGAAAGGAGCGAGAAAACAAAAGCTAAGAACATGTCTGATCCGGACAGAAGGCCGCGGGAGGAGCAGGAGCTCAGGAGGAGAGCAGCAGGACGCACAGACTGAGAGGAGAGGAGGAGAGGAGGAGAGGAAGAGGAGGAGAGGTGCAATGACTGTGCTCAGGTGAGAACAGAGAACACTGTATGCTAATGAAAGGACCAGAAAGAGTGTGACAGGAAGCTGGCATCAAAAACTCCTTAAAATGACGCGCAAGGTAATGTGCTGCAAAAAAGTAGTCCTGCAAAAAGTAGTCCATGCTAAGTTACGTGTGCATATTTTGTCTTTACTCGTGCAGAAATAAATACAAAATAAATCTGCATATGCCCAAACCATTATTCTCCTTTTTTTATCCAGTTTTGGTGACATGTGTTGTCTCTTAAATTCTCCATTTCGTGAAGAAGAAAAAAACACAATAGGCCTACATAAATACCAATAAGGAGTAGGCTATTATCTGAGTGGAAATGGGGGATTTAAAAAGAAAAAGTGTCCTCTCACAAAGTCAGTGAAGAAAAGCACAACACATAGGCTACAGGGAAATGTAGATTCTGCATTCAACACATACTAATGTAGGATCTGTGGGGAAATGCTACTTATGGGGAAAGTAAATGCCTTTACACGCGATGTATCCATAAAAACGGGAACCTGTGTTGATAAAAACGGAATATATATTTCATTTTACATTATGTCTCTATCCTTAATACACATTTATAATATAATAGTATTTTACCGTTTTATTTGAGAAACTGTAAACAGGACAGTGACCTGCTGCGCGTTCACATGTTTCAGGTGGACCTCAAATATATTATATTTTTCACGGAGCCCATTTGGAGCCGGTTGGAAAACTTTAGGGACAGAGACTGATCATGAACAAAACTACATCTGGAGTCTTCATATTTTATTATATTAAGATGAATATGGTGCTGAAGTAGCCTATTCTCTTTAAGGGGAAACATCTTGAACAAAAGGAGCTGCAGTGGAAAATATGGATCTTTTTCACCATTTCCTTTTATTCTGAGTCTGAAATATTTTTTTCTGACGAGTGAAAGGGCAATGGGATGAAATATAAAGCAACCAAGCTTCAACTGTGTGTATGAGTGTCTTAAATTGTCCCTATGTTCCTTTACTAGTCGCCACTTATTTGCTTTTTTAGATAAATCTTCAAGGCTGTCTCTTTGAAACTGGAGATATAATAACATCTCACAAACAGGGATGTTTTTTTTCACTTGTTTAGGTAAGAGTGTCAGCTCCAGCTCTTGATATGTGTTGCAGTGTGTAGAGAGAATTGCCACAACACATCGAAACCAGTGAAAGTGTCTCCTCTGAGTGCCCTGTTAGCTCTTTAGTGGAAGCTCACTCACCGTGCAGCTAACTCCACCGCTCCACCTTAAAACATCTCTTCCGGGTTCCAGACCTCCCCTTTAAGAGAGTTTCCCCCCTCTCTTTACAGCCAGCAGGGGGCGCTGTCAGACTGCAGAACCTCCACGAGCTGCCTGCAGCACAGAGGGGCACAGCGGGGGGAATCAACACATTTTCTCTGTCCATTTTTTATCCGGAATACGCGCATATTTTTGGCGAATTCGTTTCGTCTCTCCACGCAGGGACTCTTCGACGTTTTTTACACCATATACACACCCACAAAACACAATATGTGACCAGAGAAACACAAAAAATCGTATTTGATTTCCAAAAAAACATTCAATACCATGATTTTATTGATGATTTATTATTTATTCAATTAGCTATTTGAACACAAAGCTGTTATAGAAAGCAGGAATAGGAGTGAATCCTGTTTGACGGCCATATAGGACATATTATATTTAAACCATTAATTAATTTGAAGTTAATACATAGCCTAATGTTTTATTTGCTGCACGACCCACCGGAGCCCATTGAAGCCCCCCCTCCCCTGGATGTTCCCAGAGCACACTGGAGCATTTTCTATCCGAACACTAAACATGAATATGTGGCGCTGCCGTCGTGACGCTGCGTAAAACCCTCCCCGGGCCTTTGAGCTCCTATCACCGGCTTCATTCGTTAAAGGAGTGCCGTGTTTACACCGTGTGTGCGCCATGACACAATAAACTAATGATTAAATCAACGAAATGTTTGAAAAGAAGCTGCTGGATGAGCGTTACGGCGCTGCGTAACGGAGAGTCGCCACTACCGAGGACACCGACTCTTTTAGGTGACATAAAAATAGATATTATATAATAAATACCTAGAGTCATAAGGGGGTGTTATAAAAGCAGGGACTAAGTGGAGGAAAAGCAGCACATCTAATCAGTTTGGTTTACATTTTAGTAATTTTCTAAGCGTTTTTTTTTTGGAAAGGAAAATGAAAGAAGGGTTTGGACTACATTTTGATTTACAGTATAAAATAGGTAGATTAAACTGAATAAATAAATAAGTTGCTCATTTGATCCGCGGATGGAGCTCATATTTGACCCATCGTTTTATTCCACATGCAGAGCAAAGTTATACTCAGCTGAGAATAAATTAGTATTTTTTAACTATTTTTTTCCTGTCTTCTGGAGGAATTGTAACCCCAAACTCGAGGTTCTTGAGCTTTCTTGCCGAAGTCTTTCTACAAATTGAAATATATGAAGTTGGCTACCTTCATTTTTAAAGATGAAAAGGTCGGATCTCCCTCAACTACATCAAATTCTCCATACAGTTGCTAGAATATGTTCTCTTCTAAATTTATTTTAGTCGTTATGAGGCAGTGGTTTGGTGAACATGTTCCAATATATTTGTATTTTCCGAGAGTCAAAAATAAATACAACACACATGAATCCTTCTGACAAAACCAAACTTACTTTACAGGGATGAACATATAATTTCTCTCAATTTAAATCATGAGTGTATCGTTTTTGATGCTAAAAAGCTCCATGTTTGATCTTCATTGTGCTCTAAGTAAAGCTTTCTTAATGTGAGTATATACTGACCCCTCTCATTTCACTTTGTGATATTTTTTTAGTAGAGAGGCTAAATGCTGCATCATGTTGCCAAAACACGATTGACTCAAGAGTGGGCAGTCATGGCAGCGAGTTTAACCTCAATCCTCAATAAATAAATAAAACAAAAATGACAGAGGAAATGAAAACATGCTTTTCTTAAAAGGCTGTTTCCATATATATTAGTTCCATGAATAAATTGTTGTCTAAACAGCTAGTTCAGTTTTATTACACGCCTCATATTTTTCGGTATACTAGCATTACACTAGGCTACATTTTTTATTTTGTGTGATATGCATAAATATATATTTCATCTGAATATTTGATGGACACTTAATGGAAGACATTAAATCCTATGTCCAATGATGCTTCATGTTAGTTCATAAATTAATCAACTTATCATCCAATCAGCTGCATTAAGTGGACAAAAGCTCCTCAGCAGTGTGTGTGTGTGTGTGTGTGTGTGTGTGTGTGTGTGTGTGTGTGTGTGTGTGTGTGTGTGTGTGTGTGTGTGTGTGTGTGTGTGTGTGTGTGTGTGTGTGTGTGTGTGTGTGTGTGTGTGTGTGTGTGTGTGTGTGTGTGTGTGTGTGTGTGTGGCCAACCCTTCTACCTGAGTCTTTGTGCACAGAGCTTGTTAGAGAGCCCTTATTCAATGCGAGAGTCCACGAAGGGGGCCTGGAAAATACAAGGTAAATGTGGAGAGTCATTATAAACCAGTCTTAGCAGAATTAAAGTCAGTGAAGAAAAGTGAAAATAACCAAAGAATTGTGACATGTTATTTAGTAATGGGTAATTAGCAGCAGGTCAATAAGCACATGCATTGATGGGTATTAACACACATTATATCCTATAACTTATAAAGCACAAGTGGGACAGCCTTTTAATAAAGTTTGAGTCCTCTTTTCTTTAACCTTTAAGTGAAACATGCTTATTTAAAAGCTGTTTTGACAGCCTCAGTCGCTGGGGGGAGGAGAGGCAGCTCTGCAGGCTCACATTTCACTCCAAACAGCCTCAATCAGGCCAAATTATTAACGAGGATCCACTGTAACATGCAGATCTTATCAGAGCCGGATCACCAGGGGCAATCTGCTGTGTGCGACAACAACGTCTGCAGAGTTTCATAGGATATTATGCAACATATAGCACGACAACAGTGGAACATGAAGAACACATGTATGTTGTAAAGGAACACGAGGAAATAAACACAACAATATCAGAATAATAATAACACATCTACAAAATATGGTTAGGTCACTATAAACCAGTATGGAAAATTTCACTCAAGTTTTGTACTTTAATACAAATGTAAGCTACTTGTAATACTTTTTACTTCAACTCCATTACATGTCAGGGGGAAGTGTTGTAAATGTTTTTCTTCCCTTCATGTATTTTAGGACTTTAGCTGCTACTAACGACAATCTGGAACAAACTACCCAAAGCATGCACGTCTGCAGAAACTCTTACTATTTTTAAATCGAGACTGAAAACATATCTCTTTGCCGCTGCTTTTAATTGAGCTGCTCATATTCGCACTACAGTATGCCATTTAAACATATACTGTATACCTGTGGTGTTTATTTTATTATTTTATTATCTTTGCTTTTTAATGCCTGTTGTAAAATGCCATTATATAATGTGTTTTTACTGTATTTATTCCTAAAAAGTCTTTTAATTTGTTTTGTAAAGCACTTTGAATTTGCGTGCTGAAAAGTGCTATATAAATAAACTTGCCTTGCCTTACTAACTTTTCAGATTCAGATTCAAAAACAAAATACAGTGCCTCTTTATAAGGTCAATTAAACCACCCAATAGTACAAAACTGCATAGAATTCTGTACGTTTTTTACTACAAATATAATAATAACTATATATTTTAATGCAAGCGCCCATTGGTAATATTTCAACTTTTATATTTTAAGTATTTACTTACTTTTATTTTACACTTTGCATGCAGGACTTTTTAATTGTAGTATACTTTTCTTAAGTATACATTCTCAATACTTTTAATAATATAATATAAACTGAAAAGCAAGCATATAGGCA